TCGGTAGTAGATACTCTCGAACGGATGTAGCTCGAAGAGATGCAACAAGAAATCGAAGCGAACCATGCTCAGTAACGAGTAGAAATTCTTCTTCAGCACATGGATGATGGAAACTTCATAGTGGCGATGCGATTCTTGCAGGAAACCAAGGTATCGCTCGAAGCCGTCTTTTCCTTCAAAACGCTCGATTTCACCCTTCATGATGGAGATGTCGGTTGAGAGCTTGAACGTAGTGTCATCGTGGAAATGAACGTTGTAATTCGGTTCACACTTGACCAGCTTGACGCCCTCGGCATCGAGTGAGGTCCCAAGATCCTCGAATGTCTCGTGGAAGAATCGAGGGAGAAGCAGCAAGCTCGGGCCTTGGTCGAACCTCTGCGTAGCGGTTAGCGATGAGGAGCGGTGCACCGCACACTTGTCAACTCACATATCCGTTGCGGTGTATCAAACTGCATCTCCCGCCAGAGAAGTCATTCTTCTCGACTACAGTAACCTTGTAGCCTGATGCTGCAAGTCGCGCTGCAGTCGCGACACCTCCGGCACCAGCACCGACAACGATCGCACTAGGGCGCGTGCCCTTGTTCTCGATATGGTCCCCCATTTGGTAGACTGGTAAATGTATGAGAAGCGGCACAATTGCGATGAGCGTTGTAAAGAAGACGCGTTGTAGCGCGCCACACTCGGGTATTCCTGGATCAGTGCACCCAAGACTGCTAGTCATGACGTCTACAAAAATCAATAGGGCTAGGTGCACCTTGAACACTTGTTGAGTCGCATCGGCACATGTGTTTCGCACGTGAACGCGTCTTGCTGTTCGAACATCAACATGTGCATTGTTCCAGGTGCTCCTCCGCCCCTGCATACGATGTTGTAGCTGTCAAGCCACGCGGGTGTAGCTCGACACATCAGACATTGCGACTCGCGCCAACACTACAGTAAAGCGGAAGGCGGCGGAATATGGATCTGCCCCAAGACTTGGCACCATTAGAAACAATCAACTACTCAACCACACAGTGGTGTGATATTGAGCGTTATTCAGGTCATGGTGATCGTCAACGTTTCAACAAGTGTCCGCGATCGCCGAGCCTACTAGCGTCATTTTTCACTGAACGGATCATGCGGGAACGATGATTGGCATATTACAAAAATGGTATTATATCATCGCGACACTAAGCGTCGTCTTAATTATACAAAGTAAGAACGTCAGTAGAGTTTGAGTACTCCGGTTGGCACTCCTCAGTATATCCGCCAAAAAGTGCGGCTCTTTCTTGAATGAAATCCTGGAACGCGCTCTTGGAACAGCTCTCTCCTGGGCCGTCAGCACAAGACAGCGGTTGTGGATCCTTGTTAACCAAAACTCGGAAATACTCGTCGGCAGAGAATCCGTAGCTGTCGCATGTCATCTTCTCAATGGCAATGTTGGACAAGAAAGGTAGAATTCTTGATGACCTCCATGCTCTCGAGTGGTTGGGCCTGTCGAGCGGCATCGTGGCGTTAGGGTCGTTCGATCCGGAATAGGCAGAATTGTTGTACAGGCCCATAGCGACTACGACGGTAGGAGGCAACTCGCGATGCGTGAAGGAGACATAGAGATCCTGGTCAGCCTCGTCGGCGAGCAATTCGATGGCGGAAGCGTTGAGCCAAGGAAGGCCAAGGGCGCCCGACAGCTGTGTGCTTCCATAGCCGGTGTTGTAAAAATACATGATATCATTCATGTACTCGAAGGAGAGCCACTCGTCCTGGGAGAAGAGGTCGAGAGAACAGAATGGGGAAGAGCCACGGATGACAGTCTCGTATCCGCACAGCTGCTGCATGCCCACAACATCATCGGCGGTGAAGTTGAAGGCAGGAGCATACGCATTCAGACGATCGACGATGGGCTTGGTGTACGTTTCTTGGTATTGCTACAGGAGTGTTAGTCGTGGTCATCTTCTGTCACTCGAGATACGTACAGATGACTGGTCACTACCGTAGGAAGAGCTGTACTTGGGGCAACCCTTGTAGGGTGTCAGAGAATCCGCGCCCCGAGCAGCATCTTCGCGCACGGAAACGCGTTTGGTGTTGTTGCTCTCAGCCACGAGGCCGTCAATGAATGAAGACGCACTGAGCTCGGTCCTCTCAGCAGTTGATGTCCACACACGCTCAGGGTCCTTGAAGGTGGGATAGCGCAGACGGACGTCAACACCCAGCTTGTATGATTGAAGCCTGCCGACGGAAGTGAGGTCTTCTAGCTCTTCATCGCTTATGGGTGTCTCCCACTTAGAAAGGAAGGATAGGGGTCCAGCACTTCGCCAATTCGCTGTCGTGTTCTTCAGCTTGTCTGTGAAGGGCTCAATGTACTCCTCATAATCAAAGTCATTGGCGTAAATGGCGGCATGACGGATGAGGTACGAAGCGCGCGTCACGTTGCAACCCTGAGGTGGCTTCGGGTCAAGGCGCGGATCTTCGAAGTAAGGGGCAATGCCGGCAAGATGCTGCAAGGGGTCGAATGAATAGGCCGCCTGTGCGGTGGCCGCATTAGCAACTGCGAGAAGAGACACGAGAGCCGACTGCATGGTGGACGATGAAGGCTAGATCGCAAGCCGTACCTGAGAAAGTAGGGAGACATCATCGGCTTTAAAAGACTGCGCGAAGCAACAAACGATGTCATTGTCCGGATTGAGCCTGCCGTACGCTGTGGGGACAGCCAAAAGCAGGATGCGCTCGACGGCTATGGAATGATATGACGATGTTTGCCAGGTACCAAGCAAGGAAGCGAGCTAAGCTTTGACTACACCAGCCACGTCAGCCACCATTCAGAGCCGCCTCACCGTCTCCACACATGCACGCTGACGCACCTAGGCTTTCCGGCTCCGCAATGCATTCAAACAAACAAAAAAATATTCATTCATGGGTATTCGGCAACAAACTCAATCCTGGCATTATACCGCCTCCGTCACACTACGTTTGCGCGTCTCTGCAGCGTCTGCACTTTGAGCTCCAACACTTGGCACTCGTTCTCCTTGCGGTGTAGATCTCTCATGAGTCCCTCCTTTTCTGACCGGAGAGCCTGCAGCTTGCCTCCGATGCTCTCACGGTAGCTTGAATGTTCCTCCAGTAGCGCTTCAATTCGGTACCAGTCCATCTGCCCGCTTCCCGCAGAGGCACCCTGGCCCCTTAGACGCGAGATCTCAGCATCCTTGGCCTTGATCTTCGATTCCAGATCGGTAACTGTTCCTTTCCATGCCTGGTGAGCTGTTGCCCGGTTCAGGTCATCGATGCTACCACCTCCCGACGTTGCCAACTGCGCGACAAGGTCCGAGTTTCTCTTTTCTAGTTCGAGAGCTCGTTGCTCAAGAGCTGCCACCTTGGCCGCAGTGAATAGATCTGTTGTATCGCGCCGTTCGAGAAAGCTGCCTGGACGCCCTCGGCTCGGGCTGCTACGTCCGGTCTGTGCATGCAGTCGCTCCACTTCTCTGGTCTTTTCCGCAAGCTTGCTCCGTACAATCTGTACGTTTAGAAGATCTTCATCGCGTAATGCTTTGGTCGCGTCCAGTTCGCGTCGACAGCTAGCTAACAATCCCTGCACCATATTAGCACATGGCCTTCGCCAGCTCATTGTCTCTTGCACTTACGCGAATCTTGATGTTGTTCTCCACGTCTTCGTCTCGAAGGCTCCAGATGGCCTCGTGTCGCTTCCACCACAGCTTCTTTTCCTCTTCTAGCGCTTTCAAACGCGCCATCGTCTGCTCATATTCCTCAGGCTTGACCGTTAAGATAGGGTTCGCTTGTTCGATATAGACAAGCTTGGACATCAAGGCAGCAAGCTGCGACTCTAGAGGGCCGGGAATGTGCGGTGCGGGTGCTGGAGATGCCGGTTCCTGTCCTGTGAGGCTCATTTTGATGGCAGAATGCGCCAATGACTTCTTCAGTGGATACGGGACATCCTCTTCATTGCCATCCAGTGTAGAGGACCGCGAAGTCGCATCGTCGTCTACTGGTTGCTCAACAAAAGTTCTCTGGTCTTGATATTGCGGTCTGTTTGTGGGGGCAGCATAGCTAACGTCGTTTCCTACTTTCTGAGCGACCAGGTTCGCTGTGGAGTTAGGTTGCTGTCGTTGCATTTGCGACATAGCTGACATTGAGGTGTTTTGTGGACCTCGGGTGTACGGCTGTTCGTCTTCTGAACCTAGGTCAGAGTAGTTGTCCGATTCATAGCTCCTCGATTGTCTCTGCATCTGAGGCGAACTCATCGATACGGGGCGGCTCCCTGACTGTAAAGATACGATCGAATGGACTGATGAAGTGCGTTTAGCACCTGGGTGTACGCGGTTCGGTGCCCACATCCTGTGCTGGCTCTGTGGTCGGGATAGTGCTATTGGGAAGCGTCTGCGTATATGACGAGACCAGGGGGACTGAACGAAGAAGCTGGGTTCAGCTTGGTTTGTTCGGATTCAGAATGAATTTGATGGCCTTTGAAAATTTGAGGTTCGAGTCTACCTCTATGTAGTCTACTATGGCCATGCTTTGAAACGATGCTGAGACGTAGGGGTCAGAACACAGATATCTGCGACACAGACATATGAACGACAGCCGTATCAGGCTAAAATTGCTGCTCAGCCTTGAATTGCAAGAGTCCGACATATCCTGCCTGCACTTGGTACAACAAGTCAAGTCCGTACGTCGAAAAGGCCCCACTTCAAGCCCTATCTCTCGCTGGTGTAACATAAAGTACTGCGCGAGTCATGTTACGGTTTTCCAACAGTTCAAACTAGAAGGAGTGGGGCGCTACGGATGCTGGTCTGAAACACTTGGAGCCGCGATCTTGTATCAACACTACCCGTTATCACATTGTGTCTAACTCGTATCCACGCCCTCTTGCAATGGATGCCTCAGCCAAGCTGCAGGCACACAATTGTGATGAGATTACGGACTTGTACGTGCACAATGTCAAGCAGACCATTCTCGATATTTAATATGACTATACTACGCCGTGATGTGAACCGAGACATACTGTCTTATCACATATCGTAGCGGTCTGTACTATGCTTTACGGGCGTGTATAGAAAGTAATCGAATGACGCTACCTTTTCTGTGCCATTGATATCAGATGCTGCCATGCCTACAAATGCGCCAGTAAAGCTCCCGTGTCTGTTTTCGCAAAGTCAGCATACGCATGTAGTGTGGCTAGAGGGGACAATGAACTAACGCTTGATGACCGCCACACTCATCACTCAAGATCGAAGCATCGTAGACAGGTCCGATATCTGTCAGGTTCGCCTGTCCCTCCAGAGCGTAGCGAAATTGGAGCTCTTTACCCCGAATGCTCAGCGCCAATCTAACTTTGCCCTCTTGCGGCAGCGGCACCGGATCTGCGAGGGGGAGTTTCAGATTGCCATCCGGCCATGAAGCTTCCGAGCTTAAGATGAGCAGTTCGCGCTGACCGTCAGAGTCGGCAGTAACGGTCAGGTAAAAGAAGTTGAATCGACAATAGTAAGCAGTCAGGCCTGCATAAGTGCGTTCGTCGTCTGGACTGAAGCTAACGACTGTTTCTGCGTCGTACGAGAAATGCGTTTGACGACGTGCAACAAGAGCTTGCTCAAACCAGGATCCAATCGCCTCGCGTCCAACGAGGTGCAGACCATTTTTAGTACTAAAGATACGTTCTGGTTCTGGTGTACGGAGCCATTGGAAATCCTTATGGATACCGTCGCTGCTGTCGAAAAGGTAGCGCTGCTCAGACCAATAGGAGCTGTCATCGCGCTGTGCTGGCAGTTCGACATGGAGAGACGGAACAGGTCCATTCTTGACATACAGCCAGTCATCCTTGTCCCAGTAAGCCTCTTGAATCGCTGTCTCGCGTCCAAGAACGCAGCGGCGGGCCTGGGGAGTTGGGCGACCGGTCAAATGAACGAGGTATGTCTTGCCTTCTGGGGTGTCGACTATATCTCCATGACCCGCTCTTTGCAGAGATGCCAGTGGTGCGTCTTTGGAAGTAAGTATGTACTTTTGAGGATGAAGTTCGTATGGGCCCCAGATATCCCGGGATCGCGCCAAAGTGCAGGCGTGCTCGTATGCTGTGCCACCTTCAGCAGTCAACAAGTAGTACCATCCGTTCCGCTTGTATAGATGTGGGCCTTCTACAAGAGCCAGATCAGTACCAGGGAAGATGGTCTTGCATGGGCCGACAAGCTTTTTCGCTTCAGCATCATATTGCTGTAGCCTGATGCCCTGAATGGAGATACACAAGGTCAGCGTCTGTCATATCGATTGACCATGATAATTGTGTACTAACAGCGAAAAACCGCGGACGCCTTCGATGGTCTTGTAGCATGTTCACGAACCATTTCGTGCCATTGTCATCGTGAAATAGGGATGGGTCAAATCCTGAGGAATTGATGTAAACGGGGTCAGACCACGGACCCTCGATGCGATCAGCAGTGACAATGTAATTGGGCGTATCTTTGAATGAGCCATCTTTGCGTTTTACATCGGTGTACACCAGCCAAAACTTGTCACCGTCATGTGTAAGACAAGGCGCCCACACCCCTTGAAGATTCGTTACAACAATGCGCATTTACGGTCAATCTCGATCGAGTACGTACCGCAACTATCGGGATCACCGCGCATGTCCAATTGGCTTTTTCTATTCAAAGGGCGGCATAGGAGCTCCCAGTTGGCGAGATCTGTCGAGTGATGGATCTGTACTCCTGGATACCACTCGAACGTGGACGTTGCAATATAATACTAGTTTGACGTTGTCAGTTGATGTCACATGGTAGTCTCGATATACAAAGTTGGATTGTTTTCTAATCGTATCAGAATAGCCCATACCATGACTCTCATGGCATCGTGGCTATAAAACGGAACAAAATGTAAAGACTGTAAAACTCACTATGTCGTCCAATTAGCTTACACTACTCAAGCAGAACATTACGATATCTTACCGTCATTGCCAACACGTAGAACGGAGGGATCCGCGTTGAAACCTGGAAGAATAGGATTACGAACCAACGGCATGATGGCTACAGACTTTTCTTTCTCAGTTTTAGGTTGCGACACTCTTTGCACGATTGATCAGCTATATATGCGGCTTTTGAACGACGAGAGATGTAGGCGATTGCCCGCAACGAATTAGCCGGCTGCGAACCGCCTCTTTTGCCGGCGCCTACTTGGCCCCAGTGTTCTCTCCACCCCGCGCCTGAGCCGACATGCAACGTCACGCCGAAGGAAGCATAAAACTGGAGCTGGTGATCGCATGCTTATAGCCATGTCTTAGAGCATGTTGTTACGAGGGGTGCAAAAGAACGTAAAACGACCAAGAGCGAACCGGTTCAGTTTTCGATTGTAAGTGAACGAAGTCAAAGCATAATGATACGTCACCAACAGCCATCAGGCAGTTCAATACTAGTCAGAGTATTTGCAATGATCGTACCAATTCCAAATGGGGAAATGCCACGCTACAAGCTGCCCAGTGACCCACATGCGGCTCACTTGACACAATTTAGCAAGCATTTCTACCTCGTGCAATAGATACCAGAATCGGGCTGTTATAGTCCCGTTCACACAAGTGGTGATCCTTGCAACGCTCCCATGCTTGCCGCAAATTAAACCGCTCGGTGTTCAATTAAGCTCTCTAGTCTTGGTTTTCTGACACACTTTCGTTACCTACTTCTCGTCTTTCTGAGTCTTGATTGTTGGCAGAATCGTGACTTGTTGTCTGGTCAGCATTTGCTGAAGCGACGACACCTGCAGGAGGGACGAAAGTATCGCCTTCGTCCGTATCGAGCTGCATCAGGAAAGTTTCCCAGATCTCGATGAGCTAACATACAAGTTAGTAGGCCGTAGGGTTTGATGCCATAGATGAACTTGCCTCTTTTTGTGCTTCTACAGCACTTTCCAGGAACGTTTCGACGCCTGACTTGAAGTCTTCGACCTTCTCCCTCTCAAAACGTTCTAGTTCGCTACGCATCAGCCGACCCATGTCATCGAAAAGCAACCTTGCTTGATGAACTTTTCGCTCAGCGTCTGCAACATCGGCGCTGAGTTGGTTCAGACGATCTTGCTGCGATCTGCCTTGCCTCAAAAGCTTGTCCTGGTTCGTTTTCCGCTTCTGTAACTCCTGCTCAGCAGAATGCCAGGAATGGTAGGCCTTCTGTCGCTGCTGGAACGCGGTCTTTACGGAACCTATCAAACGAATGTACTCGTCTATTACGATGCCCATGGTGAGTATGTCTTGTTGGGCCTGACGCTCGTAAAGCTCCCGAATGCGAATCTGAATGTCGGACAAACTATCAAGCGGCGCGGACAAAGATGGCGATAACTCAACAGCGGATAGAGAATGTAGAGAAGCCGAGAAGTCTCCACAAGCCTCGGCTAGACCTTTCCGTTGTGTGACTACAGCATCTGTAGCTTTGAGAAGAGCCTTTAGCTGCGCTTCAAGAGCATCGAGATAGATTCGGCGGTCGTGGAACCACTGCAATACCGTTAGCGAATCGACCTGTTACAGAAACTAACATACGTACGTCATCGTGTTCCACGAATTTACCACTGCTACCACCGAGCATGGAGCCAAACATGCCTTTGCTCTCAGTGAGACCGGGGTCTTTGCGCTCCTTGTTCTTGATGTCCATGCTGAAGGCTTCGCTTTCAAGGAACAGCTTCAAGTCACTGTCATGTTGCAACACTGGATGAGCAGCGGCCTTGTTAAGCATGCGCTCCAGAGCAGAGCGTCGTGACTCGACAAAATCAGCTTCAAAGCGACCAACAGCCTGCTTCTCTGGCGGCGGAGGAATAATAACTCCAGGGTTGTTGTTGTGCAGTTGTGTGTATAACCAGAGGAAATCACGGTAACGGCGCGAGACAGTGAATTCGGGTTTGCGGTAGCCCTTGGAAGTCGTCTTGGTAGTGACGGCGTATTCTGTGTGCGAGCTCGTGAGGTCACCGACTTTGTGAGGGTCGCCTACAGAGATGGCAAAGGACGGCTTAGCGGCCTGCTCAACGCTGACACTCGGCTGTGTCTGGCGCTGAGGTGCGGTGGAAGACGGCGCCTGGACTGGAGGCGGTATTCTGGCTTGAGAGGAGGGCTGCTGCTCGTCGTTGTCGTCATCGAGGTCGACGGAATCCATCATGCCGCGTAGCGAAGGTGTAGAGGCGCCGCCCGGGGCGGGACGAGTGCTTCGCGACGCAGCGGCTTCTTTCTGAGGCGGCGCTGGAGGGGCAATCTCGGTGCCTGTCGTCGGCGAGGGAGCGCCTAGAGGGCCGAGGGGATCATCGACAGCCTCGAGTTTGGTGGACTGCAGGCCATACTGCCGCCGTCGGGGACCGCGTCCAGCGGGTGAGCGCGGAGCAGAGGCAGCAGTAGGGGCCGGGTCTGCAGACGGCTTGGTCGAGGGCGCGGGAGAGTCGGTGTCGAGCGTGTCGTTCTGCTCTACCTTGGACGCACTCGGCGCAGGGCTCGACCGTGAGGGCACATCTGGAAGCCTGTCAGCTTTGCGCAGTATCGTCGACAAGACAGTAGACACGCACCTCCCCACGGGGAGCTCTCTTCATCTCCAAGGTCCATTGGCGCAATGGTTGGTTGTGTGCGGGGGTGGGTCGAGTTGAAGTCGCAGGTGTAGTAGTAGGAAGCCGCATGCTCATGGCAGCTATGCATTGGCGCTGGGTTGGCTATGACATACAGGGTCCACTAGTCGCGCGACGCCCATTCCTTCACAACATCATACTACAATTACAGACCAGCACTACCCAGGCTCACTTTCCCATGTTCGCAGGTATAGCACACTTTGCCGTCTTCAGATTCCAGCCTCATCAAACCCCTCGTCTGACCCAGTCGCTTCCCAAGATGCTCGACCCAGCTCTCAACGAAGACTTTGGTACCCTCAGCCGCTGGTCTCAGGTAGGTCGTGTTCACTTCAAATGCGTCAATCAAGTCATTGGCAGACCGACACTATCTACAAGGTTGCACTTACTGCCAAAGCATTAGCAATCATGTCTCAAATCTTCTTGCAGAATCACCATACCGGGTACGTGAGACATGCCCACTATCCCAGAATCCGTCGCGCATACACGGCGTAATGGCCATTGACGTCGTAATGTCAAAGATCAAGGCCACGGCGCCGCCATGAAGCGAGCCAGCCGAGTTGCACAGCTGTCTGGGCACGGTGAAGCTTATAACATTGCGCGAGTTGTGAGGGTTGCTGCTGGTTGGCGCAAATGTCACAGATTCGAGCTTGAGGATTTGCCCAAGGATAGCATCGTGGCCCTATGCAAAACCATCAGAGCCGCATCATCGAGTTTGAAAGACAACCTGCATCGTAGTCGCTGGAGCTGATTGCGTCGAACTAATGCTTCGTGTTAGTCTGGGTGTTACTGCAAGGTATCCACGGCGGTCACCAACCCAGTGTTGGACTTTTTCAAACGGTGACAGATCATCATCGCCTCCGCTCTCTGCAATCTTCGCGCTGTGCTTCCGTGCAAGACTGCCCATATTCGAGTCTTGTCAATGTAGAGGATCATTCATTGTACGGATCAAGCAAGTATGCGCGATGCATTAGGACCTCGGCATCTCCAGCAGCGCTAACTTGTTTGAGCCGCGGTATCAGAAATCAGAAAATATCCCTGGAGAGCAATGAGACCAAAAGTTCCATCCCACGCGCCTCAAGCCCGCCTGTTGAAGCAACGTCTAATCATGGACTCGTCCAGTCTCTTCCGTCAGCTACTACGCATGCCGGTAGTACATCGCACTGCCCTAATCGCGCCTACGCGTCCACATGCGCGCGCTTTCGCCATGCTCGCACCCCCGCTGCCGCATTCACGCTTCATGTCTATCCCCCGCATCATCCAGCCGAGCTTCTGGGCCTCCATGATACCCAAGCCACTCAAGACCCGCTCCGAGCAACCTAGGCGCAAAGAGTGGAACCCCGCTACCCCATACATCATTCTTGGACTGCTCGTCGGCAGCCAGGCCATTCAGATACTATGGTTGAAGCAGGAGAGAACGCACAACCTTCGCAGAGCCGAGGCTAAGATTGGTGTATTGAGGGAAGTCATTGAGCGTGTACAACGAGGCGAAGACGTCTCGGTTGAAGCAGCTTTGGGGACGGGCGACGCAGCAGATGAGAGAGAATGGGCGGAGGGTAAGTCGGCACTCTGAGACACGAATGCTAGAGACGTGTTGAAAGCTGACATGTCTTAGTTCTCAAAGATATTCAGAACGAAGAGGCTCTCTTCCAGAGTAAAAAGAAGAGAAAGGCCCTGAGAGATGCTGCTATGCAAGATGTCGCCAATACGCCGGACAAGGACCAACAGGAGACAGCAAAGCGTAACTTCACCAAACAACAGGTGGAGAGCGTGGGCGGAGTCAAGTTTTACTGAACTTCGAGATAGTAGGTGATATGACAGTTGACATTGAACTGGTATAAAAGCTTCATACTTGCGCGGGCCAGCCGCCAAAGCGAAAAAGCACGAAGCTCTAAAAGGAATGGGTATCGAACAGCAGTGAAGATCTGGCATCTAGCCAAGGCCAGTCTCTCGTTCCCAACCCGTCATCATTCGCCTCCATCATTAAGAACACTCATGCCTCTTCCTCCTCAGATTGTTCTGCCTCCGCTCCCCCTTCCACCTCCGCCTCCTTTGCGGCTCTCAGTCGCTCTCCACGCTTTGCGTTACCGGCGTTGTTGGAAAGCTTAGTAAAGCCCCTTGCCTCAGGGTTGTCGCACAGAAGCGCAAGAGTCACACCTCCACGAAGAGCGTCATCAACCGTCGCCTTCTTCTGCTGGAGACAAAGACAGATGCGAGCCAGCCGCCTCTCCAAGCACTTCTCGCTGACGTCCGTGAGTTTGCCACGTACCACCTTCTTGTGGTAGATGGTAGGTCGGACCCAGCCGCGCTCGTGCACAGCCAAGGCTTCATCGAAAACATGGTGTGCTGCGGCTTCCAGATCCAAGGGATTGAATGCTTGTTCTACCATGAACCGCGTTCGGTGGATGGAGTTTGCGCTGTCACTGACGTTGGAGATGTCGATCATAGACTCGTAGATGCGGCGTACCCAGTACATGCCTAGAAAGCAAATTCAATCAGTTCATGTTGGGAAGCTTGTGGTTCTCCTGCTACTTACGTCCATGACGCTTGACACGCTCGACATCTGATGCGAGAGACTTGGGTGCTATGCGGTTGCGCTTCCGGTATGCTCTAGCAGCTGGGCCAGACTGGAACTGTCCGGTGTATGCTGGATAGATCGGCTGAGGGGGTGGAGGAGCGTTAGGATCTACATCCGGCTGAGGCTCCCAAGCGATGGGGGTGTAGTCGTTCTCGTTGAGGGTCTCGGATGGAATGGTGGTTGAGCCAGTAACAGGGATGGCAGATGGAGTTCCAGATGGCATGTTGGATGGCACGGCGGCTACATCATCGAGCAGAGTGGCAGTTGGAGCAGAGGAGGACACCGGACGAAACCCGTGGGAGCGCATCAGGTCATGGTACATCTTGTCCATGTTGAGCTCAGACATGCGGCCAATGGCCCCAGCCTGTTGACCTGGACTGAGTGCCCCCGACAGTATGCGTGCAGCGACAATCTGAGGGTCGTCCTCGCTGTCAGAGTCGTCGTTACCTGGCATCTGGTATTCATCGTTGAGCTGTGCGGCGAAGTCATTGAACATAGTTGCTGAGGGCTCGTTACGGTCTTGCGTTGGACCGAGTGCAAGCCCCAAAACCTGCTCGAAGTCATCAGGAATATAGTCGGCATTGTTGTGGTGGCCGTCAAAGTCGTCGTGTCCAAAGTCGACATGGCCAAAACTGTCGTGTTCAAGGTCGTTGTCGGGTATTGCAGGAACCGTTGCAAAGGCGTCACGCACGTCAATGTAGCTGTCGTGATCGTCGACGTGTTCATGATGACCGGCATCGTTATGCTGAACAGAGTTGTCGACAGATGACTCAGGGACATTTGCAAATACGTCGCGTACATCAATGTATGATGGCGAGCTCTCGAATAGAGCAGGTGAGTATGGGGCAGAGAGCGAAGGAGTATTGATGTCGTCGTGCTCTCCAAGGCCTTCAACAGGTAGCGTGGGAAGGTTTGCGAAGGCGTCGTTTACATCAATGTGCCAATCTGAGGTCTCTGACCGAGCGGGAGAGTTTGGATCATCGGATGAAGACATTGTTGCTTGAAAAGAGTGGTACCAGACCGACGATAATGTAGAATGGAAGGATAAAGTGTTCAGTGACGACCAGCGTCAGAAGCAAGCAAAGTTAAGAAAAGAGAGAAGTTGGACGATGACCGAATTGATGAGTAGAAAGTAAGTTGCTAAAAGGAAAAGAGTAGAAGCTGTCAAGACGTTATACTAGGTCCATGTGCTGCCCAAGCATATCATACTCCCATTGTCGGGACGTACGACAATAGCGCGCAACTCTTCGCTGCAAATGACCCTAATAAAAACTGGAAAAGTCTCGCAACTCTCATTTTTTCTGTATTGTTTAGACAAACGCGGCGAATCAGATTCAGTCGCTTCTATTGTACCAGGTGGGGAGCGAGAAGGTTCACCTGCTAGTAGTTTCGAGCCGCCTTCACCTTCACTTATTCCCAAAAGGTGTGGCTTATCGCTGCAACAGCTCCTAATGTTCAGCAGCAACAACAACTCAGATTTGCATTTGTAGTATCCACTGCTTGATAAATCGATCCGTATACATTAATGTGTGTTGATGTCCTACATTTGCCTGTGATCGTTCTCGAATCTTAAAAACTCCCCTGACATGACATGCCGACTACTATATGACCCGTGTGAAAGACGAGCAACGTCAAACGACTGCCAGAAACTGCAACAAGACGCAGAAAGTTCAAAAGTCTTCAGTCATAGATCTTCTTGCAGTAGTAACAAATGGTATAAAACGAAACCCCATCAGAAAATGATGGTACCATAATGAAGAGAAATTAGAAACCAGATTACGCCTTACAAATCGCTGAACACGTGTCCAATCCATTAAGCAGCAGAAAAGCGGTTCAAGGTTCGTATGCACCTTTATGAAGATCCGTGGAGCTGTGTTGGTGAGGCCATGGTAGCAGCCGGCTGTGCGGACTTTGCATCGTGACTACCTGCCGCAGCCTGGAACCCATCCTCGCTCTCCACCTTGTTCCTCCATTGCGAGAGTTCATTCAGATCCGTGTTATCATTGTCGGGCATGCGTTCGAAATCAAAGCGATCACTCAAACGGTAGGCTTTGTTGGTAGTTTCCCAGTGACTCCTGAGAGCGTCCAGCTCAGAGGCAAGGTTATCCAGAGCCATGGAGTTACGCGTAGCAGAAGATGAAGGGCGGGGGACGGCCTCTGGGGTACTAGAGCCGTCATTGCGGCTGTAAAGAGATTCAGCGGATGCGATGCTATCGTGAGCACGGTGGCGGCTGTGTTCAGGAAGGGTGTTTTCGGTTGGTGCCTGGGACTGGCGGCGGTAATTATCGACCGATGACTCAAACTGGTCAAGGAACATTTGGACCCGACTCTCAGCTTCGCGGGCACGTTCCTCCGTCTGTGTATGCTGACGGCGGAGCGCGTCAAGATCTGTCTGGAACTGGGCTGCTTGATGCTCTGCCTGCTTTGTAGCATTCGTTGCTGTTTCGGCATCCGCGCGAGCAGAAGCCAGATCAGATTGCAGTTTGGACAATTGGGCCTCGAAACGTGTAACGGTAGCTTCCATCTCCTCTCGTGCCTTGTCCAGTTCAGAGCGAAGTGCCGCGCGTTCTGCGTTCGACTCAGCTTGATCGGCTTCATCAGTAGGACTACGCTTGTCTTGCTTCGCTTGGGTGAGTTCTTCCTCTAGCTTGAGATTTGCACTCTTGTAACGATCGAGCTCCTGTTTCATCTTCGAAAGCATCTTTTCGGTACCCCGGAGGTACTTGACAGCAGCTTGGTGATCGTTGTGAAGTGCCTGGAGTTTTTCTTCCCACTCCTTGCTGACCTCGTGCTCACGCTCCTCAAACATGGAGCGCATTTCCTCATGTGCTTTATTCATAGAGTCTACCTGTTGTTCCAGCTCGCGAACTCGGTTGAACTCCGGTGTGCCGAACCTTGAGTTCGGGCTGTCCAATACCCTTGAGCGTCGTGAGTCAACAGGGTTTACACCTCTTTCGTCGAGAAGATTGCGAAGTGTTTTAAGCTGAACTTCGAACGCATTGCTCTCAAGGCGCAGACGCTCGTGTTGCTGGCGAAGTTCGGTTCGTTCGGCCTCGGAGAGCTGTACATCTCGCATAGCCTGCTGTAACTGTTTACGAATGGTCAGCCCCTCGCGACTGGATTGCTCTTGGTAGGCCTCGAGACCGGCGATTCGTTCTTCAGCACGGCGAAGCTTTTCCGATGCTTGGTCAGCAGCTGTCTGATTCTTGCGAGCCATGGAGTTTGCAGCTTCGACTTGCTGTTGCAGTACTACAACCCGCTCATCATGGTTAGCACCATCTTGCTCGGAGCGCTCCGTTATCGTTTGAAGACCAGAGAAGACGGTGGCTCGATGAAGGCGTGCCTCTTCTGCATGGCTCTCCGCCAACTCCTCCGCATCACGAAGCTTTTGTGAAGTAGTCTCCAGCTCCAGTACGCGTGCCTCATACTCGCTACGAAGTTGACTCAGCTTCTGACGCAGGTTTTCACTCGTAGTCCGCTCTTCAGTGAGCTTCTTCTCCAACAAGGTTGACTTCTCCGTGGATGCGAAGACAGCATCGCGTAGAGACTGAATAATAGAAGACTGAGCTTTGTGCTCTTCGGAAACCTTAGCAACCCTGGCGCTCAGCTCTTGTTTATCGATTGCCAACAGTTTCGATGCCGATTCTGCTTCTGCAGCGCTAGTAGATACTTCCCTTGCAACACGCTCAGCCTCGTGTAATTCGGCGCGTAGACTCTCCGATTCAGCTGTAGCTTTTTGTCGGGTCGAGTCCAGTTCTTGTACACGTTTTTGCGCAGCTTCTGCGGTCTCCTCCGCTAGTTGTTTTGCTTTCTTTTCGGCATCAATCTCACGGGTCAGATGCTCCACTTTAGTAGCCAGGTCACCTTGAGCCGCCAAAGACATCGCTAGTCGCCGACTGATATCTTGGAGGCGATCCGCGTCGGGTGTGTTTGTGCTTCGAGTCCCATCTGGCTGTGGAGTTCCATTCTGACTACCACCTCCGTGAGCAGCCAACTTGGTTTTAGCGTAGATGGCTTCGCTGACAGCCGCGTCCCGCTGTCTCTCAACTTCAGCGATTCTCTTGGCAGCATCGTCACCTTGGGCTTTGATGGAGGTTTGTACTCGTTCAAGTTCGGTCTTCATCTTCAAGAGTGCCTCCAACAAGGGTCTATCCTCGTCTCGAAACGCGTCGGCCGACCGCTCATCGAATACTGGACTCGTGGAAGTACCAGAGCTGTAGCCTGCTCGACGAGCAAGTGCGAGCTCCGAGGCGTACCATGCGTTGCGACTTTTGACGTGCTCCAGTTCTTTAATAAGTTCGGTGTTTCGTTGATCATTCGCCAGTGACGCATTCTTCAAGCCCTCATTAGGTAACTGTTCAACGTCACGCGCAAATCCGCGTTGTTGCTGTGTCTCTAAAGATTGCCTGGTTGCCTGCTCTGTGCTATCTTGGGAAGGCTGCGGGCGGTGCGATTTGGACGTGTTTCGGGACAAAATGCTACCAGAGCGAGTAGTGTCCATGGACTCCTTCGGGGTCCGTTGGCTTACAGCGTCCGACGACATCTTTCGTTGCATGTCGTTCGTAGATGGACTTTCGCGGGTCATAGGCGACATGTTTTCTCTATCCAAGGCGGATGCAGCTCCAGTGTCGATAGGCGGGCCGTATCCACGTTCATTTTTGGTTGGAGTCTTGCTTCTAGGTTTTGCGGCACCTTGTACGCCAGCACCATTCTCACGGGGCTGTGGAGGTTGCTGAAGTGGTGGGGGACCTGGTGGTTGACCCGCTGCACGAGGCAAACGTGACCCTGCGTTCGCACCATTTCCCATGTTTTCTTGGGGTCTCGTAAACTGTGAAGCAGGCATCATACTCTCGCGCGTTGGAGGGGAGCCGACCTTAGCGGGAGGCACATTGCTTCTCTCACCGCCACTCATCTTCCGCTGTGTACCCTGCGGCTGTGGTGGAGGAGCACTTTCATTGGGCGGATACCTTATCTTGGAGGTGTCCAGAATGTAACTGAGGCTGAGCTCATTCCTGTCACTGGCAGAGGAGCTGGGCTCGCCAGCTAAAACAACGATGTGTTTTCCGAAGGCAGTCATGCTATGCCCCGACCGGGCTGAAGGGGAGTGTCCCATATTTTGGAACATGTACCAACGGCGTGACGAGATCCGAAAGGCTGCAAGGTCGCCCAAGTCGACGCCCTCTTGAGTGCGTCCACCAAAGATGTACATTGTGTCGTTTACGAGGGCGGCAGAATGGCCCTCGCGAGCTACGGGAATGTAGCCAATACAGTCAAGCTCAGTCCAGGCGTTGGAGCGCGGCTCATAGGTCCAGACATCGTTGAACCAAGTAATCCCGTCGGTTCCACCAAAGCTGATGATAGTTAGCAGGTTGGAGTGTGGAGGAGACAAAGGGCTGTGACACGTACAGGTAGAGCTTGTCGTTCCACGTTACCACGGAATGATTGGTACGTGCTGGTGGTGATCTGCCTTGTGGAGAAGCCTGCTCCTTGGTGTTTGGTAGCAACACCTCCCATCGGCTTGCGGATGACTGCAACGAGTTCAAATCAAAAGCTACGAGGTCATTGAAAAAGAAGCCCTCGACCTGTCCACCGAAAATGTATATCTTGGAACCCAGTATGTTCAAGGTATGTCCGTAGCGACCAGTGGGACGGGGTCCTTGTGGTAGAGCGCGCGACCAGTGCTTTGTGGCTGTGGAGTGTCAGTTGAGGTCATAGGTGATTCTGAGTTATACGCACAGGTATTGAGGAGATATAAGGTATCGTCCAGGTCGTCGTTGTCAGCCAGTTTCGTGTCTCCTCCAAAGACAATGAAGGCGTTGCCAACGAGCAAACTAGCATGACCTACGCGAGGACCAGGGCCGTCTCCAGTTGTGGATATGGGATAGCAGGCCATGCTGCCGTTGCCCATCTCTGTTAACCACAGATCACCCTTGACTGTTGCGCCGCCAACAAGTCCACCCATGAGGTAAATGGTGCCATCCTTGCTAGCCGTGGCATTTATAGCAGCGCCGTATCGGGGGAAGGGATTGCCTGCTGTGAAGTTCAAGCGTCGGGAGGACCACGGGTACGGGGAGTCTGGCGAGTTGCCGGCAAATCTGGGGTTCGTATTCTGAGGCAGGTAAGTCAGCACACGTGCAAGCGCAATGGGGTTGCCGAACAACGCACCTGGATGCTGGTGTCGGCCTTTTCTCGCAGCGCTTTGGGCTCGGGGGTAGGTGCATTTCCAACGTTCTGGAGAGAGTTCAACGAGTTGTTTACGCTGCCTCCGGGGGTGGGTGTCTGGGATTGGGGGCCTCCACGGGTCTTCTCAATCTCACGAGAGCCGGATCCATTGACGGCTGGGGGTGGTTGCCCCTGGCCTCCCGATGAGGTTATGTCTCGTGTGGCTGGGGGCAGCGCGTTGTTGGCCTGCTGCTTGCTCTTCTTGCCGAAGAGAAAAGACATGGCGGCGGTGGTGCTGCGAAGGCGTTGGTGCAGTAGCGGCCGGGGCCTATCGCGCACTCATTCGGCCTGGGACGCAGACTAGGAGAGGGAAGGCGGGCTGGCGAGGGTGAAGTGATCAGGCGAAGCAATGGACGAGGCGCGCGCGCATGTCGTACGGCTGGTGGAGGACGGCAGATGGGTGGGAGCGAGGGATGCTGTGTTATGGCGGCGACCAGGGCAGCGCGATGCTGGGGATGCGGGTACAGAGAGGCGTAATGCCGTCGGGACTCAGACGGCGCAGCACTTCCAAGGGCGACACTTCCAAGGTTGAGCAGGCCAGATGTATGCACGAGGGAAAGACGACCAGGCGGACAACGATGGTTAGCCTCTCCCCCAGCCCTGTTCACTCTGCGCGCCGCCCCTGAGAAGTGTCGGGAAGATCAGCGGACGCCGACAAGGCTAGAAGTGCCATTGGCTGCGTCGCGCCCGGAGAATGCAGAGGGCCTGCAAAAGAACCTCTTGTATAAGAGGGCGCGTTGACATGTGTGCAGATGCTAGCGAGCGTATGCACCGTTGGCCAGCCAGCATCCCTACCCGAACCATTCGAGACTGCATCAGTGCTGCCAAGTTGCTTTTTTGCTCCCATGGCCGCGTCGTCAATTCGCGGTGGAGCTCGACTCTCACCGCGGCGCTGCTTTGGGCCTAGCGCCGACGACATGCACTGTCGAGCTCTCACCTATGCCCGACGTCCACGAGAACAAGTTTGATAGACGTGCAATTGTCACCGCCCTCCCTCGCCCGGACTGCCGACTTCTGCTCTCTCTCTCTCTCCCTCACCCAAACGCGTCTCTCTGCCACGCGCACCGTCCGCCTCGCGCTATGGGCCCCGTCAACGCCGTCACTGCTCACTGAAGCTCACCATGAGAACAGCCAACGAACTACCTCTTGTCAGCGGCCACACCCACCCCAATCCGCTTGCTTCGCACGCCCCCGCGCCTGTCAACATGAACGGCTCCCATCCCTCCGACGCTGCTGCCGCTGCCTCGCGCCCCAGCACTGCGGCCGCCGCTGATGCGTCGCCCACCTCCCACATGGACGAACACGCCCCGCCCGCCCGTCCTGCTTCAATAGGCCCACAGTCTGCCCGTCCCAGCTTCCTGCGCGCGAAGAGCGACTTTGGGCCCCGCCATCCTGTCCTACCGCCAGAGAGCGCCGATGAGGGAAGCGTCGACGGCCACTTCAAGATCCGTCATGGCTGGGACGACCAACTGAACTCGGAAGAGTACAGCAACCTGCTCACCTCCAACTTCTTCATGTACTACACCGACAAGAAACACGAGACCGGCGGCCACCCCAAAAACGAAGACTGCGCCTTCCCTGTCCAGGAATGGCGCATGCGAGACCGCCTCAAGACTGTCTCGGCTGTCCTCGCCTTGTGCCTGAACATCGGCGTTGACCCCCCGGACGTCATCAAAACCAACCCGTGTGCCAAGGAAGAGTGCTGGATCGACCCGACCGTGACCTCGCAGACGCCCGGCCACACGCCCATGAACCAGATTGGAAAGGCTCTGCAGACTCAGTACGAACAGCTGAGCATGCGCACGCGCTACAAGCTGCTGCTGGACCCTACAACAGAAGAGACAAGAAAGTACGCTTCCACTCTCCGGCGGAATGCCCGCAACGAGCGAGTTTTGTTCCACTACAACGGCCACGGCGTACCCAAGCCCACTTCTTCCGGCGAGATATGGGTTTTCAACAGGAACTATACCCAGTACATTCCATTGTCACTCTACGACTTGCAGTCCTGGATTGGTGCTCCAAGTCTATTCGTCTATGACTGCTCCGATGCTGGGCTCATCATCAGCAATTTCAACCGCTTCGCTGAGAAACATCAGGCTGAGTTTGAGGAGGCGCGCCGGAGAGACCCGAGCGTCGAGCATGTCGACTTCAGTGATTGCATCCACTTGGCTGCATGTAGAGAGCGTGAATCGCTTCCCACTAATCCAGAGCTGCCTGCTGATATCTTTACTTCCTGTCTGACCGACCCCATAACCATGGCGGTACGTTTCTTCATCTTGCAAAACCCTCTTCCAACTAAAGTTAGCTTGCGAGATGCCCACAACATTCCAGGCAAGGTCTCTGAGCGTAGAACGCCTATTGGTGAGCTAAACTGGATCTTCACGGCCATTACTGATACCATTGCGTGGAATTCTCTCTCTAAGCCGCTCTTTAAGAAACTATTCCGTCAGGATTTGATGGTCGCTGCCCTCTTCCGCAACTATCTCCTTGCACAGCGCATCATGCGCGCATATCACTGCAACCCTGTCTCGCATCCCGAAATTCCTCAAACACATAATCATCCGCTCTGGCGCAGCTGGGACTTGGCGGTAGAGCTGATCTTGGCCCAGCTTCCGGACCTGCAGGCTGAAGCTCGGGGCGAGAAGGATTTCAACTACAAGCACTCCGACTTCTTCTCCGAACAGTTGACCGCTTTCGAAGTATACTTGACACAGGGCGCAGTGGAGCAAAAGGTACCGGAACAACTTCCCATAGTGCTCCAAGTACTACTCAGTCAAGTCCATCGTCTCCGTGCGCTTATCCTGCTATCGAGTTTCTTAGATCACGGCCCTTGGGCTGTAAATCTTGCGCTCAGTATTGGCATCTTCCCATACGTCCTCAAACTACTTCAGTCTCAAGCAAACGAGCTTAAGCCTGTAATGGTATTCATCTGGGCTCGTATTCTCGCAGTTGACCAGTCCTGCCAAGCCGATCTTCTCAAGGACAATGGCTACCAATACTTCATCAATATATTCAATCCTAATTCTGGTATACAAACTTGTCTTAGAAAGAAACTGTACATTGGCTAAAGTTACACAGGCATACCTATTCAGAACGCAAGTGAACACCGCGCCATGTGCGCCTTCATTGTTTCCATGTTCTGCAAGGACTACAACCAGGGACAACGCGCCTCACTGAGTACTGAACTTGTCGAGAGCTGCCTAGATCATCTCAAGGATATGCAGAACCCGCTGCTCAGGCAATGGTCATGTCTCTGCCTAAGCAAGCTTTGGGTCAACTATGAAGAAGCCAAGTGGGTCGGAATTAGATGCATGGCACACGAGCGGCTATGTGAGCTCATCGTGGACCCTGTTGCCGAAGTTAGAGCTGCGATGCTGCATGCATTGGCGTCCTTCCTTGGGATTCGCGACGTCACTCCCCAAGTGGCTAACATTGAGGAGTCTATCGCGTCAATGATTCTTATCATGACAATGGATGGTAACAGTATGGTGCGCAAAGAACTGCTCATATTCTTCTCAACATTTGTCGCTCGCTACAAGGCCCGATTCATAGTAGCTGCATTCGAACAATTATCCGAGGATCATGCCAACATGGACACAAAGCAGTCAGATGACAAAAGCACCGAAATGCTCTACATGAAGACACGTTCAGGAGCGACAGACGGCGCTTCGGAATCGACGTCTTGTTCACAGAACACTATATATTCTGCCATATGGAAGGAGCTATTGGTCATGTCCGTGGACCCGCACCCGGAAATCGCAAAAGACGCTGGAATAGTCGTTGATTGCATTCTTATCGCTCTCATCGAATCCTCCCTAGGAAAATTCGTACAGCCCCAACTAGATGAAGCTCTGCAACATGCGCCCGCTCCTCGTCCCACGCGCCGCGCAGTGGAGGAGACCTCTGCGCCGCAAAAAACTTCCAATCCTCCAACACCGACGAAAGACTCGACATATCTGTCTCTTTTCGGTGGTATCCGCAAATCCACCAGCGTTGGTGCTTCGCTGAAGAATCTCTGGGCAGGTCAAGAATCAGCAAGCCCTCGACAGAGGCCATCTGGGCGATCTGCTGCTGAGGACACCACTGTCCCGTCAGCGTCTCGTCCTCAGACTCCGGAGAAATACCACACTGTAGAGCAGCCAACCTCAAGAGGTTTCAAGAACAGGAATCTGTCAGAAAAGCCAGAGATTCCACTCAAGAGTGTGTTCTTCGAATGGTCAGTCGAGTACTTCCGTGAGCCCCAGATGAAGCCCACAGAGGCCGACGAGCCCGGAAGCACCGATTACAATGGCCGACTCTGGCGAAGAAACCGTAACGACAGGATTATTGCCGAGACTCAGCCGTTGAAAGACATTGCTGTCTCTAACCGCTGGGACGTGCCCCGAGGGTATTTTGACAACCTCAGCCAACCTGCGAAAATGTGTTTCCATCAGTTCGAAGATCATCTAGTCGTGACAGATACACGGGACACCGTCAATATCTTTGATTACTCAAAATCGGTTAGCAGGATCAATTCTTTTTCTAACGGGAACCCTCCCGAGTCGAAGATAACGGACGTTCGATTCATCAACGAAGATGATCAGGCGCTATTAATGACTGGGTCTTCAGATGGAGTCATCAAGATTTTCCGTAACTACGACCGTAAAGGAGAGACGGAACTAGTGACGGGATTCCGAGCTCTCACCGATCTTGTTTCAAGCAACAAGAATGCCGGCCTGGTCTTTGATTGGCAGCAAGGTAGAGGTCTGATTCTGGTTGCTGGCGACGTAAAGGTCATCCGCGTATGGAACGCAGGGACCGAAGTATGCACCAATGTAAGTTACACTTTCTGCGTCTCTTGAGACCTTAGCTGACTTGAGTAGGATCTCCCGGCGCGTTCGGGCTCTTGCATCACATCCTTGACCTCTGATCAAGTCGAAGGAGATGTGTTCGTCGCTGGCTTTGGTGATGGTGCCATACGCGTATATGACCAGCGCCAGAAGCCTGCCACCGCCATGGTTAAGGTCTGGAAAGAGCACAAACAATGGATCACCAACGTCCATCTACAGCGTGGTGGTCAGCGCGAACTTGTGAGCGGCTGTCGCGGCGGTGAGGTTAAGCTATGGGATATCCGCTGGGACCGCAGTGTAAAAACTATACAAGCGACTTCCGACACGCTCAGGACACTTAGTGTCCATGAACACGCTCCGGTCTTCGCTACGTAAGTGCTAATAAACTGCAAACAGACTGGAACATGCTGACCTCAATAGTGGCACGCAACGACACCGTGTGAAGATTTTCAACCTAAACAACGGTCAGCCCGTATCTCACCTCGAACCCTACTCGGGTTTCCTTCGGGATCGATCTGCTCCCATCTCTGTTACCGCCTTTCATCCCCACCGACTGATGATTGCCGCAGCGGCCGTCAACGACACCCACGTCAATATCTTCTCGTGTCACGAGCCAAAGCATTCAGCTGTCAATAAGACAGTGAAACTTTGGGATGGGAATGCGAGTACAGCCGCGTCAAGCAGAACATCTATCATCGGCTGAGGGTGATCTGACGATTCCTCGCAGAGTCCGAGATTGAGGAAAAGGAATGCAGTCGCTTTGGTGAAGTCGTCTAAATGACCTGACTTTTTTTTTTTGAGACGGTGGAGCACAGCAGCTTATTTTGTGCTGGGCGTCAGGAATGCATTGGTTTCGAGCAGGACTGTCAATTTCTACTATACCCAGGCTACATTAATTAGTAATTGCACACAAGTTCAAACACACGTCCTCGATGATGTTAGCCAGGCGGGCTGCCACTAATTGGCTATGACGCTGCGGGGGGTAGCGGGGCTGTGACTGCCCCACTATGGAAATGTGAGTCGTCCGCACGATACGACTGACCACTGCACAACGCGACTTGAAATCCCCAACACTACCACAATGAGTGACGCCGCACCTACTGGCGCTGAGCCGCCTTCCAAGAACGCGCTGAAAAAGGCGCAGAAAGAGAAAGAGAAGGTCAGCAGAATCCCCTCCCTTTCAAGTTCATAATGCTCACGATATACTAGGCAGAGAAGAAAGCTGCAGCCAAAGCCCGCGAACTTGCTGAGCGTACCAAGAAGGAGGCCGACGATGCCGCCGACGTCTCTGTAGGCGCATACGGCGAACTTCCCCTCATTGGCTCCAAAGAACACAAGCCTACGGGAACTCCACGCACCGAGCTTGCCGATGTCGCCAGCAATGAGGACAAGGAGATCACATTCAGATGCTGGGTGGAGAATGCAAGGGTTCAGTCTGCGAAACTCGCTTTCCTGAACTTGCGACAGAACCTCAACACTGTGCAGGCTGTTGTTGCGGCCAGCGAGAAGCTGAGCAAGCAGATGGTCAAGTTCTGTGGCAACGTCAGCACCGAGAGCACACTTGTGGTCACGGGCATAGTCAAGCGTGTGAAAGAGCCTATCAAGAGTGCCAGCATCACCGATTTCGAGATTCACATCCAGAAGCTGTTCGTCGAGGCTGCTGCGGAGATTCCGCTACCACTTCAGGTGTCCGATGCTGAACGGCCTATGCCAACCGAGGCTGCCGCCGAAGAAGACCAGAAAGAGGAGGAGGGTGGCGAGCGACCACTCGTCAGTCTGAACACGAGGCTAAACAACAGGACGATTGATCTTCGGGCGAAGATCAACCAGTCCATCTTCGTGATCAAGAGCGGTGTATGCGCCTTGTTCCAGGAATTCCTCTCAAAGAAGGGTTTCGTCTTGGTGCATACCCCAAAGATACTGTAGGTCATCTCTACGAGAGCTCAATACAGATACTGACCTGGCACTTAGCGGCGCTGCCTCTGAAGGAGGAGCCAACGTCTTCGAGTTGAAGTACTTTGGTCGTCCCGCGTATCTTGCTCAGTCACCACAGTTTTACAAGCAGATGCTGATCGCCTCCCGCTTCCAGAAAGTCATGGAGATTGGCCCTGTGTTCCGCGCCGAGAACTCTAACACGGCTCGTCACTTGACCGAATTCACAGGACTGGATCTTGAGATGGAATTCCAAGAAAACTACCACGAAGTCATGGGCGTATTGGAGGACCTTATGCTCTTCATTTTCAACGAGCTCAACTCACGATACCGGAAGGAGACTGAACTCGTAAGAGGAGTGTACCATGTCGATGAGTTCAAGCTTCCCCAGTCTGGCAACGTGCCTAGAATTCCTTTCCAAGAAGGTATCAAGATGCTTCGCGAAGCCGGAGAAGAGCTGGGCGACTACGACGATCTGACGTAAGTGTGGTGAAGAAACTCTATAAGGCTCGACTAACGTTTTCAGAACCCCACAAGAAAAGCTGCTTGGCAAACTCGTCCTGGAAAAGTACAACACCGACTTCTACGTCCTGGACCAATTCCCTCTCGCTATCCGTCCCGCCTACACTATGCCATCACCTGCCGATCCCGCTCTCTCAAACTCGTACGATATGTTCATGAGGGGTCAGGAAATTCTCTCTGGCGCGCAGCGTATCCACAGCTCGGAGCTCCTCGCAGAGCAGATGCGCAAGCATGATCCCCCAATTGATCCAGCCGGTGCTGGAACCAAGGACTACGTAGACTGCTTCAAGTATGGCTGCCCACCGCACGCTGGAGGAGGTTTCGGTCTAGAGAGGATTGTTCAATTCTGGCTTGGACTGCCCAACATTCGGATGTGCAGTCTCTTCCCCAGAGACCCGCAGCGAGTTGTACCTTAAGATCGTTCTGCCTGTAGGAAATGATGAAACTCCTGCTTGATAATGCTTGGCAGACACGGGTTACCAGAACGGACATGGACTTGATACTGCACGTGTACGCGAAACGGAGTAGAAGATTGGTCCAGGTCTTCACACATCGCATGAAAATCCGACGATTGTGGAATAGAGGAGATACTGAGGGCTGATGTAAGGGCAATGTCGCGTCTCGTGGAGTCAACGACCAGCAGAGTCAATTGTACACTAGAGACAATGAAGATATTATACATACTCGCCGTTTAGTCTGTGGATGCGACTATTCAAGTAAGTAGCTATTTTCCGATGCATACTTGCTTTCGATAGAGCATACCGCCTTTAGGGGCATGGTCAGAGTATTTCAGACATGCCTCCGGTGAAGCCCTCTGCCCCATTTAACTTCGCTCATTAGAACCCACACTTTCATCGAGTGCGGTCGGACGTCGCAGTCAACGTGATCCGCTGACGTACGGCCTCTGTGACTCCCATGTCTACAGTGCCAGAGGTGCCCGTCCTTTATGCGTACTGTATTGGGCGCAAAACCACACTGATACCCCTTGCAGATAATTGTTCCCAACGGTTGATAGCCTGCATGTGTTCAGTCATAACATGGACCGACGTGCGTAATAATCGCGATACCCATCCATCCTGCGATTGCGAATTTTGATATGACAGCCATGGTTTCTGCATCAGCATTGTTTCAAAGTCGCAGCAGCTAGCTTTTTCTGTGCCTCGTCTCCGAGGGCGGCAACATCCACCTCTTGTATAGCCTGCCCTATTGCCAATGTCGCCTTTATGTTCCCCCCGTCGACGTGTACAAGTCCGTTTCGACCGACTGTGACCTCGAAGCCGATTTTGGCACCCAAGGTCTGCAGTAGAGTTATGCCACCACGTGCTGCAAGCATTCGTCGAGCCATGCCCAGGCTCACCTTGAACAGCATGCCTCCCTTCAAAAGACCGAGTCCTTCACTCTTGCCTGTGGAGGGATCGACGCAGGTGAGTTCTGATGGCAGATCCTTGCCAGCGCTGGCAACGCGGCAGTATACCAGAGAGTTTGGAGGAAGCTGGGGTCGTGTCTTCTTAGTCGCGCCCTCGAAGGCCAAATGGGGGAGGGTCGCAGGTGGTGTGTTCGGAGTAAGGAGGCAGTTGAAGTTCTCTGCGGCAGAACCATTGACAGTCGCGATGACGAGGTCGCCCGCGAAAGGAAGGTACTGTGACGAGTGTTAGCAGACTAAGAGCAAGCAAGGCGCAACAAGAGCTTTCTAACCCTTCCAGTGTTGTATTCAACCGAAGCAGCATTCTTCTTGTTGTCTGTCACGAGCGCGCCCGCAATTGTAGCAGTGACCGTGTCTGGCGGCGTGTGTCGCAAACCTGGTCCGAGGGTGAGCGTCTTCTTTTTGCCTGTGCCTGTAGGCAGGGCACTCTTCGCGATGTCGTCGCCCGGCAGGACGATTGTGGCTGACGCTGCCATGGTGGTGCTTGCCGAGTCGTGTTTCCTTGGTTGTTGGTAGAGTACATGGTAACATGTGCAATCCTAGGTATAGTGAGCTCATTCCGAAGAAGCCCGTGCGCTTCCGAGAAAAATGCACGACTCTGAATTTCTTAGCCGCGCAGAAACACACGCGCTACAAACGCAGCCACAGTCGGATATCCTCAATTCTTCCACTTCTACCGCTTTCTCGTCAATACCCGATCGTCTCATTCTAACTCGAAACCCGTTCACGTAACTAAACGACGTATACCCGCGCAAGATGAGTGCGCAAGCGGACCCCGCGCAGAGAGTCGCGATAGGAATATCCTTTGGCAATTCGTACAGCTCTATTGCCTTTACCAGCGGTGTACGTAATGCATGTCTATAGCCGTTTTCTCTGGGTGTTTCTGACACATAACAGGAAGGCAGAGCACAGGTCATCGCCAACGAAGACGGAGGTATGCTGCTTGCCCCACGCCCTGAATCCCCTCCATTGCTAATTTGTCCTCAGATCGCCAGATCCCCACCGCTCTGTCCTACGTTGAAGGAGAGGAACTCCACGGTGGACAGGCCAAGAGCCAGTTCGTCCGCAATGCGAAGAACACAGTCGCCTACTTCCGCGACTTTCTCGGACAAGAGTAGGCAGCCTGATCAACCCTCCATGTCCGACGAGACTGACGCTCTGAAGCTTCAAATCGATAGACCCCTCGCCATGCCACCAGTCGGCTCACCCCATACAGCATGAAGACAGCGTGGCTTTCAGCATTCGCGACACCGAAGAAGAGCAGGAAAACACCGTTTCCGTTATCGATATCACCACACGCCACATGAAGAGACTGCGAAGCTCTGCCTCTGACTACCTCGGAAAGGACGTCAACGCCGCCGTCATCACCGTACCCACAAACTTCAGCGACGCCCAGAAGGAGGCTCTCAAGAAGGCTTCAACAAATGCTGGTATTGAGGTTCTGCAGTTCATCAGCGAGCCCACGGCTGCTGTCCTGGCCTACGATGCCCAACCTGATGCGAAGCTAGCCGACAAGATCGTCGTTGTCGCCGACTTGGGTGGTACTCGTTCGGATGTCGCCGTGGTCGCATCCCGTGGTGGCATTTACACTATCCTGGCCACTCTACACGACTATGATGTTAGCGGCTTCAAGCTCGACCAAGTGCTCATGGACCACTTCGCCAAGGAGTTCCTCAAGAAACACAAGTCGGCAGGTGACCCCCGGGAAAACGACCGATCATTGGCCAAGCTGAAGCTCGAGTGCGAAGCCGTCAAGAAGGCGCTATCCATTGGTACCACCGCCAACTTCTCCGTAGAGAGCTTAGTGGGCGGCACTGACTTTACCGCAACCATCAACCGTACCCGTTATGATCTCCTGGGAAGCAAGCTGTTCGCCGCTTTCACTCGTCTTGTAACGCAAGCTGTGGAGAAGGCCAACTTGGACCCTCTCGACATCTCTGAGATTGTATTGGCTGGCGGTAACTCACATACCCCCAAGGTTGCTTCGGCGGTACGATCAGCCTTCCCAGACTCCACGACTGTCCTCGCGCCTTCCACATCCCCATCCGCCATCAACCCTTCGGAACTGGCAGTCCGCGGTGCTGCCATTCAGGCCAGCCTCATCCAGGAGTTCGAGCTTGAGGACATTGAACAAAGCTCTCACCCCATGGTCACCGTTACGCCCCATCTTTCTACCGCTGTTGGTGTGTTGTGCATCTCAGGTGACGAATCTTCTGGCGTTTTCCACGCCATTGTTGATACCGAGACACAACTCCCCGTTCGACGCACTGCAACCATCACGACACCACGAGAGGGTGGCGATGTGCTTATCAAACTTGCCGAAGGCTCACGACACATCAAGGTCACGAAGCCAGAACCAAAGCCCAAGTCTGAAAAGAAGGATGACGACTCGGAAGACGATGATAGCGATGACGACAGCGAAGAGGAGGAAGAAGAGCTTAGGGAAAAGACATGGAAGGTCGGCCAAGTGCTAAGCGAGGCTGCGGTCCGTGGAGTGAAGAAGGGAGGAAAGGTTGAAGTGCAAATTAACATTGGCGCCGACCTGAGCATAAACGCCATCATCCGTGAAGTTGGCGGCAAGGGCGGTGTCCGTGGTATGATCCAAGGAAAGAAGGTTAACGGCAGCGCCTAAGGTGGACTCGACTTCTCCACTATACCAATTCACCAACCGCTGGACGAGAGCCCTTCCTCATATGCGATGTAAACGACATAGACAGCTTGTTTCTTTACTTGACCGCTACCAGTAGCTTGTATAGGCCTACAGAAAGGCTTAAACCTTTGAGCTGGCTGCAATGAAAATTATCTAGACCCGCAATCCAACGTGCCAAGTAGTCCAGTCATCGATTTTTCAAGAGTCGAAATCGCGGTCTCATCCTTCTACCCATTGCTGTGTTTGTTCTCCATTGCTCGTATTCCATGTCTCTCGTATCCGTAAAATCCAAATCTTGATAGTGCCATCTGCGCTCCAACCAATTCTCCTTATCCAAGTCATCTATGCTAGAATCCAGCGCACCCAAAACCTCATCCTCACTCTGCCACTCAGTACTCCATCCTATACTCAAATAGCGTAGACGGCCTAAGAAACGCTCGTCTATCATGGTAAAAAGATCGGTCATGGTGAAGCTGCGTGACGGATCGCCAGTTCGTCCACAGGCGACAAGGGTGAGGCTGTACAGTGGCTTGGCTTCTTGCCATCGCGTTGGAGAAAAGTCTGGTGGCATATTTCCGAACCGACTGTCAATATAGTCGAGCGCAATAGTCAGAGATACTAGGTTAGGTAGCCAGTCTAGTACACCGTTCAGTCGACCTTGCTTGACGGCTGGCAAATCACGCAGTTCGACAACAGTCAGCGACGCAGCTAAACTGTTGAGCAGCGGCCTGATTCCTTGTCTGTGAATTGAAAATCAGCATTGCGCTCATCAGGTTCAGTCAACCAGTGACTTTCTCGAGGCGTGACTTTGACATACTGATCTAGCCCAGGACTATGGTAGATACCTAGTGAGGAGAACGTCGGTGGGAAGTTGTCTGGTTGTCGTAACATGTCCCAAAGAAACTGGCCCGAGACTGATCCGGACAACGCAAGATGTTCAAGCTTGGGTGGCCAGCGGATGCTGGGACCACCTGGTGTCGCTGGTGGTTCGTATCTCGATGAACAGCGAGGCAAGTAAAGCTCACGCAAATCTCCCAACTGCCGTATAGTTTGGTTCAGACTTTGGAAGCTGATACATTCTGAAACCCTGATATTGAAATTGCGCGTCAGTGTACGAGCCGAATGCACCATGTACTTGGGGCTTACTGACAGGCTCAGGTCAAGAACGCGCAGTCGAGTGCATTTGCTTAGACTAGCCCAGCAATTAATCGCAAAGCTAGCTTGGGGTGCTACAAAGACTTCAAGAGATGCTCTTGTTCGGCCTAGTAATCTAGCCGTTGTGGACTTGGCGCCTTGGTGTACGATGTGGGATAAGTCAAGGGACTTCACCAAACTCGCCAACGCTGTCGGCTTATGACAAGTTAGCAGATTCTACCGGTTACCTTTGATGCAACTTACCTTGATGCGAGCTAGTACAGAAGGACATATCGTGCGTACAAAGAGTTCGTATGCGCTTCCAGACAGATATGGTGATTCATATAACGGTTGAACTGCTACCTATTCGGGCAGCGAGATTAGTTACGGTACATCTGATGTCCAATAGATAGACATTTACATACATCATACCACTGTCTGGTCTTGTAAGCTTATGTGACTGAATTGTCAGTGCAACGATTACCTATTGACTGCTGAGAAGCGGGCTAGCGTCGTTTGCCTCTCAAGCTTGCCCAGCGTTTCGAAATGAGCCAAGATCTCAAGAAGTAGTTCGCTGGGGAGATAGTTTGCATAACTGGTAATGGAGGCAGGCATATCTAGCACGGTCGCGTGTGGGAATGCGTGGCTCGTGAGGAAAGTCGCCAGTATACACGCGCCATCATCCGCGCAGAGATGGAATATGACGCACTAGCGCGACTATTGGTTCGCCGCCGAACTATAATGCCTGTTATCTCCGAATAGGGCCGAACCACAAATGATGTTCGACCCCCGCCCTGCCAATCGTCAGCAAAGGGCCGTCACACTCTGTTACATGTAACAGCCGCTCCTTCAAATCTGACATGCCAACCAGAACTAGCCGCGTTTACAAACCTAAGACCACTGATATGCTTTATAGCGATCAATGTGAAACATGTAAGGAGCACCACCATATACACATGCATGGAAACATACGCTGTGAATGTTCATGAATACTCACAAAGAATTATTTCACACTCCCTTACATTGTGTTTCTTCGCATGTCATAGTCTCTTCATATCTCTCTCGCATACAATAAAAGTCTCACCGACGACAACGCTCCTTCTGCTGATCACTACCACATAAATTTCGGCCCCTGAAAAACAACACTACTTTGCTTACTTCTGGCTACCTCAACACTTCCGAGTCTTCTTTCTTACCAACAATGAACACTTTACTCATCGCTTTGTCAGTTATAGGGCAAGCAGCTGCCGACCGGCTGCTGGTGGCTTCATACGGAAATGAAACTCATGCTGGCGCCATCCAGACGCTCGAAGTACTGCCTAGCACAAGCGCAAATTCCAGCCATGCGATGAAAGTTACCCAAGAGAACCACGAGTGTGGAACTTTGCCTACATGGTTGGATGCGTCCCTTGGCCTGGATAGGATAGTCTGTCTAGACGAATCAGCTGCCAATGCTAGTCTCACAATGTTGAGCCTTGGTGATGACGGCAACCTCCAAAAGGTGTCCAATACCAGTGTGCTGGGAGGAGCAGTATCTTCGGCGTCCTACAATAACAAATCCGCATTAGCCCTTGCTCACGTACGTACAACTTTCCTCCTTTCCAAGTTTTTATCGGATCAAGTACTCACTTTATGGTAAACCGAATAGTACGGACCCGAGCCAGCCATATCACTGTTTACTATCGATGGGGAAAACAAATTTTCGTCTTTGCAAAACATCACCTTCCAGGCGCCTGAGCAGATCCATCAAGCAGTCGTCGATCCTACGGGGCAATACATGATATTCCCCAGTCTCGGTGCAGATACGGTCCACGTCTATTGCATCGATCCTGTCAGCCACTTGCTCACAGAGCATGCGCCACTCAAATCCAAACAAGGATACGGTCCGCGACATGCAGTTTTCTGGACAAGTTCCAATTCTACAAAGACGTACCTTTTTGTAGTCCATGAGAAGAGCAACAAGATCACGAGTTACGAAGTTTGTTATCTCGAGCAGGGCGGCCTAGCTTTTACCGAAGTCGACGAGGTCAGCACATACGGCAATCAAACCGTCCCGCCAGCGACGTTCGCTTCGGAGATGACGCTCTCGCCTGATAACAGGTTTTTGATCGCAGCAAACCGTAACGGCACAGTTTTCAAAGTAGAGAATTCGGACCCAACCAACAGCACTCAAGTTCCGAGTGATTCACTTGTGACGTTCAAACCGTCAGCCGACGGAAAGCTATCGTTTGTCCAGCTTGCAAAATCAGGGGGGTGGTACCCTCGCCACTTCAGTATGAACCAGAATGGATCGTTGATTGCGGTCGCAAATCAACTCAGCAAAAACGTCGACATCTATGCCCGTAACCTAGAAACTGGAATCATCGAAGACGGCAAAGCGGTGGCAAGAGCTAACAATCTCGGGCCCGGCGACTTGATGTAAGTTAAACCCCCTAACTTGTGTGCTGAGTACTGACATTCCTGCTTCGTAATAGGTTCGTGCAGTGGGTAGGGCAACAATAGATCAGGATTGAAATTCTATTCAAAGCTCAAGCAGATGAGCAGTAGACCTGATATGTAACGGGTTACTCCACCCATGTTCTATATGGAGATTTCTCAACATTATTTTTGTGCATAGCATGGCGGAGTTTTGTATTATAGCATAGCATCAAGGAGTGTTAGCTGAAGATACCCAGTTTTCCTGTTCAACAGCCCACGAAACGGCATCCCAGACATCGCCCACGATCTTGCGAGGCTGAGGTGTTGGTTTTGTGCCCTTCTGATAGACACCTGTCTCTACTAACACACTAGCCCAGTCTGTGCCGTACGGGCTCCTGTAATCATTACCGCCAGCAATATCACTCGCCGGATTATCACCGACCATATACACACGCTTGAGATGCCCAAGAGGACTACCGTAGCGTTGCATTATGTTATGCCGATGCGCTATCAGGCGCTTCTCTGCGAATTCATATGTAGGTTGGTGTGGTTTACCCATCACGACCTTTTGCAGCTTGACACCTTGTGCCTCGCCACCGGTTATTGCAGCCCAGATGCCTTCGAACGCTTCGCGAAATCCTCCTTGGCCTAGGCGTGGTAAGTGGTATTTCGCCGCCCACAGTAGGTCTGGGTTCGAGAAGTAAAGTGGTGGTTGCCCGTCTTGCTGATAACCCCGGTTCTCCAAAGCAGGGTTGCCGTTCTTCTTGGACAGAGTCCCAATGATGCCACGCTCTGACAACAGAACATCCTTAATGATCTGCGCATCCAAACCCCAGTCCCGCGGGTCATTGTACACAAAGACAGCATCGATGCGAAGCGAGGTCGATGGTGTGGTAGCATCGATTGGGGTCGGCAGCGGTCGAGTGAAGGTCTTATAGTATGATAGCAATTGCTGGGAGAAAGGCCATACTTCGGGATGAGCAACTAGAATGTCGCCAGGGGTGACAACATTTTTGAAGCTACGCGACTTCGTTAGAATGTTGCGGCACAACGTAATTGCATGTTATCGTACCCGTATGCTTCGGCAACTCTCCTGCATTTATCCTCCACTCCGCCAACAACCATGACTGTCTTGTCCTTTAGGTCGTTCATGTCGGCAAAGGGGGTGTGACTCTGGACAAACATGGACGTATCGATAGCCACGTCCAGTTTACTGCTCAACTCGGCCACGCGCTCGGATTCATGTTTGCCGCCGCCATTGGTCAAGAGTATGAAGGGAATGCGCTGCGTTTGGAGATAAGTGAGGGCCTTTCGAGCTCGCGGTAATGCGTCCGAACTCCTCAGGAGTACTCCGTCGATACTGACAGCCGTCAGCTGCTGTATTGAGAGGCCGATGGCGTGCCGCCTTACTCGAAAGCGAAAGCAAAATCGGAGGCACGGCTGTTAGGGGCAGCAGCGGTCTGGAACGCGCGGCGTAGAGGTAGGCGGTAGCCGCAGCGAGGAAGTAATTTTGTCGCGTACATTGCTGTTGGTCGTCTGAGAGTTCGTTGTAGAGGTATGATGTCTTCCTAACTTGCAGCAGTTAGCATGACGTGGAATCTTTAGTCATCATCCCGCTACCCGCCATTGGAAGTCGCACGCACCCTAAGGCTCTTTCACGACTTACGGCATGTCATATCGGAGCAAATAATCCTTCAACAGCAGAGAACCCATCGAACTAACAATGATCTTCTTGGCATGCAAAACATGCAAATGCAGCGTTTCGCTTTCTGTCCAAAAGCACCGGAGACTTACAGCATCAAGCGATACATAACGGTACGGGAGAATGACTTGCCAGAACACTCGTCCATCTTTCTTTAATATCTCTTCAAAAAGTATCTACCCGAAGGTACTATACTATTGTTCCTTGAGCTGAACAATCTGCTGGCAATATGCTTGGGTTCGCTCAAAGTTACAAGCCATATTGTTAACGACGTTCCCTGCGTGGAGATTATTCCTTCGCTTTCTTGAACTCGTAAGATATGCAGTATGTGAAAATATCACGATCTGCCTGTTCGCACATGATGGCCATCTCCAGATATGACAGCCAAATCGGTATACCCACGGCATCGAAACCTACCACAACTGACTCGTTCTTGAGGTCGTTGAGTGTCCAGGCCTGCACTACTATGTTTTGCCGGTCATCGAGATCACGTCATTACCGGAGCATCGATACAAAAGTCATTGAGGCGCTTTTCTGCAGTTAGTTTTTCTTTGTTATCACTACTAATAGGAAGGGAGGTGTTCGTACAATGACAAGCCAAAATCTTGGCACAACGGGTCATGTATAAGAACAATAGTAGTGGCGAATCTACGAACAATAGTAAGGGTAACAGGACTCGGAGTTCTCTTATCACGAGCAAGCTCTGGACCTTTCGCATCGATAGCCATAAGGTTAGCTTCATTGTTTCGTCATGTATACTTCGCTGCAAACGATGTATAAAGGAGGCAGTTGTCCTCTCCCATCTGACTCCAGGCCATAAGAACATTCAGTCATTTAGCAACTCCAATCCTTCCAAACATTTCTTGACCAGTTGCCAACCAACCAACCAACCAACCGAACCGTCAACATGATGTTCTCCTCCAAGCCCATCCCTGGTATTTCATGCACGGTCAGCAAGCGTGGCGGCCCCATTCCCGGCACTAGTTGCACAGTCATGCGTAACGACATCATTCCTGGCGGCGGCTACACTGTTAGCCGCCGTTAAACAGTCTCTCGAGAGACCAATGGTAGTTGGACAAACGCAACAACTACATGTTAACGGGTTCTGGCTTGTCCCCTTACTTCGATTCTTCCAACCCTTTTCGACACAACAGAGGATTATGTCTAGTACTCAAGCCAAGCGACGAGTACTTGGAGACAACATGCCTCACAGCCTTGCTGCAACACCGATAACGATTCGACAAACACGACTATTTTTCGATACCACCAATAACCAACACTACATGCGGCTATACGATCGAAGTCGTGTTTTCGAACAGCATGGTTTTTCTTCTTACAAACTTTGATTCATGTAATTAGTAGCGGGTCAAGTTGAGCTCTCGATGACAGTACTTTTCCTATAGAGCTTGATAATATTAATACTTGACCACTTCAAACGTCTTCTGCTTCTGAATGCTTGGGATCAAAGCGTGAAAACTGTGCCTCCATGTGTTGATGCTGCTTACTTGAATGATTGTTTGAGCATGATATTAATTTCAAACTACCATACTGCTGCGAATCTATGACTATCCTGCAAACGCCTTATGCCGATGCAGAAGTCGAACCATCGCAGCTTTACGAGGATACGGGCACCACTAGATTTGGATCAAGCCGCTTCTCGTAACAGACACTGTTGTCTGCTTCGTTGTAGTTTCCAAACATGTCGCGTTGAATAAACCCACGTCTTTCATAGAAGCGTCTTGCTTTCGCCAAAAAAGTACCAGTCTCCAATAGCAACGTCGACCAGCCTCTTTCTAACGCCTCATCTTCCAGCCTTGTGAGTATCAATTCCGCAATGGAAAGACTCAAGCCTTTGTTCCCACTTATCGGCCCTCGGTATGATGGGTCAACAAACATTCGCTTGATTTCAGCAGCATTACTGAGTGCACTATCTGATGAAGACAGTGGGCGTAATCCGCCGCAACCGACTGGAACGCCAGCGCAATAAGCAACCAGGAAGATTGGAATGTCAGCGGCTGATGGTGGAGTGCCGGGGTCTACACCTCCGAGGGTGGTAATCTCGGTTCGCTGGGTGGTACGGAGTTTAACACTATCTGGATGATCCCAGGAGACGGGAAGAACGACAATATCGTTGACTGACAACATGGTGATTGGGGTAATGTTGAAAAGGAAAAGCAAGGTTCGCAGACGTTAGTGATGGATAGCCTTCGTAGGTAGCTCCTAGTACCTCTGTAATAGGCAAAGTATGTCCGAGTCCGACCATAATCACTTGTCATGGCCCCACGAAGCAGGGTGTTTTGACTCAGAACGTATGGCTGTGAGCGAATGCTTTGATTGGCAGATTAAAGCTGCCATCTTATTAGGTAGAGTGATAAGGTAATCGCCGTTGCCGGTTGCATACTGCGAGCCCGTGCGAGGAACATTGAATTCAAGAAACGTCCCCCCCAGCCAAGTCGGAGGGCAGGGCGTCTTGATTCCGTTAGAAATTACTTTGGGCTTTCATTGTAGTTCTTACTAGCAGAATGTTCATCTGCAAAAAGAGAAGCCAGCTTTGAGAACAAGATTATAGGTAAACAGAACACAATAATAGTATTGTTAGAACGTATCACAACAGCTACTTGAGGCAAGAAGCCGTCTCTCTCCACTTTCCATAGTTGATAATGGAAAAAACTATCTGTACATATATTTACCCACATCCTTTAGAAAAACACTGGAAAGAGCCTAGTAAGAGTACATCAATCGATACTCTTTGACAAGTACTACCGCAGAACGTAGGTTGCTACAAGTCTGCGGTATACGGGAAGATGATAGTAAATCTTTCACCTTCCCCGTACACTCCGGATCGAAGATTTGCGAGAGACACGGCCTTTCACTGCAGCCATATCCTCTTGGGAGATGGGACTAGCAAGGGGTGATTTCTTCGTTGCACTGCGCAAAGATGCAGGAGTTATGTTCGGTGAAGCATCCTCCTCTGATTCTAGCATGTCCGTGTCCGTATCACGAGTAGGCGTGCTTGGTCGTTGAGAACGAAGTGCCTTTCTGTTCTTAAGCGTCGATTGTAGTCGAGAGGGCTTAACCTTTTTCAATGCACCAGGCCTAGAAACCTTCCTTTGATAGGTGACAGTTGTGCGTCGGGTATGAATGACAGTAGACGGTTGCGCCGCCCGCGAATTGGTTGATCGTGTGCGTTTATCAATGTTACCAGAACTGGAGCGTTTGAGCGCGCGGTTCTCGCGAGACGCATTCTGGCGCGACAGCTCATTTGCCTCTCTCTCAGCTCGCTCGCGAGCAGACTCTGATCGAGCAAGGGCGTTCTTTGCCTTTGTGCTAACTGAGTTACCAAGAAGCATTCTGCGCTTCTTGGGGGAGCTTTGAGTGCTTTCAGAACCGGATCTCCGGGAACCCAGCAGATCTTGAAGCTTGCGTTTGGTGCCAGCGATGAAAGCCGAAGCTATGGACTTTTCCTCAATGGGTTTCTTCGGTTTGGGACCAAGGACGCCGCGACACGACTCAGTGCCACAACGACATTCCTGGATATTCTTCTGTGAAAACGGACTGCGAATGTCAGATTGGTCCAACGAGTATGCTGTGAAAAATGACTTACTCGAAATTGTAATCGTAGGTTAGCTCGTCGCCGGTCATGATGCCTCGAGGACCAGCGAAGAGTGCCATTCGTGGTTCTCCGCCCACAGTCCACTTGATCATCTCGCAGTTAGGTTCACATGAGTGGTTGACGAAACGCGCAATCGTTCCACGGGTTGCGTCTATAATCATTTTGTTGTCGAAACTCATAAGATAATAGCACTGTAGCGGGTCAGTGGAAGTGGGCAAGCAAAGATATGGACAGCTCACCTTGTCTTTCTTGTAAACCTGCTTCATGCGTCGCTCGCATTCAGTCTGGGTAATAATCTCTCCGGCATATTCTACGATAATTTGGTGAGGGTCGAAAGTTCTCATAGCACGCACACCAAAGCCTCGGTCTTTCGTATCGAGACCCTCCACGCCGTAATCGTAACGGTTGCCTTTAGCACGTCGCTTGAGCTCTGCAAATGGCCGATTGTTACATAATTCCGGAGGAAGGGGGCAGTTGGTGTTGTCGCATTCGTATGCCATGATCCGGTTATGACAGGCTTCTCCGCAGCCGTCTTCGGCATCGCAATAGCACTGGGAAGAGTCTTGCTTGTCGCGTTTCCACAGTGCAGACGCGTCGCCAATGAATCTGTCTACAAGGTATTAGTGACATTCACCAGATTGACAGCGCAGTCGTCTTACTTTTGTTGAGCTTAACCCAGCCGTCAACCTTGACTTTCCTGGGTAGAGGGCTGTAAGTGTCGAATGGCAATTTGAAGTCGCGAAACACAAGTTTGGGGTCCTCGTTCAAGAGGCGTTCGCAAGCAAACATGGGGAGGGGTAAACTGTGAGCCTTCCCTGGTTTCTTGGCTCTCTTCTTCGCGCGGTTCTGGCTCTCTGAGAGGCGAGGATCAAAGTCGCGATCCTGGCCCACATACAGACCCTGCTTGAGCCAGACTTTCGACTTGGGTTTCGAGAAGATTTTCTCTTCCTGCGCTTGGTTGTTAGGTTGGCGACCTCCATCTTCCATTGTTGCGCGAGAGCGCTTCAAAGAAGCCGCGGAAGCAGCTGATTTGGATTTCAAAGAAGGCTCTGAAGTGCTACGTCGTAGAGTGCCTTGGTTGGAAGCCCTTCCGTCCGAACTATTGCCTGTTATGTTGCGGAAGGCCTCCTTGCGAAGATCCGTCACGCGCGAGGAAGTGCGACGTCGTGCTGCTTGGGCGGCTTCGGTAGCCAGCTGCTCCTCGATTTGGTCGCTGGCATCCGTCATCTCGGACTTCCGCTTCAGCATCTTCTTCCGTACAGGTGTCGCATTCTCCGCCTTCGCAATGCTCTCAAGCGAGCCATGCACGACGTTCTTGTGATGCTTCTCGAGGTATTTGGTCGGCGTGTGGATGGCTGTTCCGGCGAGAATCTGCACATTGTACGTGGTGACGGATTTGCGCGAGGCCCTCGCGGGCCGGCGGATCTCACTGCTGGCGGCATCGGGCGCAGTGGTTTGCGCGGCGGCTGCTGTGTCGCTAGTCATCTGCAAGCCAGGAGCCTCCTCGTACACTTCGACAGCGTGTTCGATCTTGGTTATCTCAGACATGACGCTGGCTTCGTCACCGAGACTGGTAGGAGGCGTCGAGATGGAGGGCGACGCGCTGGACGTGGCGCGAGCATCGCCGTGCTTGTCCGTCTGCACCGTGATGTTGGAGAGGGTAGAGGATGTCGAAGTGGGTGAGTGGTCGCGCTCGGCCATGGTAGCGGAGAAGGAGGGTTGCAGCACGCGTCGCGGTCGTTGTCTTGAGGGGCGAGGCACTGACGCGCGAACGAGGTCGACGGTTTGGGCGGGTTAACGGCGCTCACGAAGCAACACTGCCAGAGTCTACGCGCAGTAGGAGGAGGGCAGGCGTAGAAACGTGCACAACAGTTAATCCGGTTCAGTAGAAAAGGTGAGCATGCATTGGCAGGTGCAGCGAGCCGGACTTAGGAGATGGATGGACGGATGGAGGATTGGAGGTAAACACATGTAGCTAGTCAGTCAGCCAATTAGGCCGTCCCTGTCTATCCAGTGTTACCAGCACCAGCACCCCTAGCACTCTGTCTCAACCCTAGCACATACAAGCACGCCTCTGAATGCAGCTTCACTGAAGAAAAAAACACTGTAGTAAATATGCACATTGAAATAAAACCACAGTCCATGCATACAAGTGGTCGAATGGTGCCTTGCTATGCAATCGCGTATCATGAAGGAGTTATTACTTAAGATGGGCTAATCCATGATTAAGCTGATCAGAACCGTCGTCTCATGCCACAGTCGCATCTGCAGCGTCGCGTCCAGACCTGCTACTTGGGCCCTGGAACGCCTCCGACCCGCGAACATCCTGCATTTCCACTCCACCGCCCTGTTGCTCTGGAGCCAAAGGTGCAGTGCGTTTGTCTCTGCGCGGGCCAAACCTCTGATCGCCTTCCTCGTACCTTCTCTTGAAGTGCAGATACGTCGGCGGACGAGGTCGTTGCAATACAGCGATCCAGTTTTTCAAGACTGAGCCCTGTGTAAAAGGTCTATGTCGATCCTTTTTAAGGAACTTGTGCGAGTTGAGATATTCACGTGTCGTCTCGCCCCTGCCGACCAAGAAGAGATGGTACACACCAAGGCTGAAGGGATACGACCATCCCAGGAGTCCATATATACACATGGCAAAGGGCACACGCCATCGATCAATAGCCTCACCAAAAGATGCTCCATTTTGTGCTCGCCAGACCAAGAGATGTGCCAGGCTAGCGCCTAGGAGAAAAAGCCCTAGCAAGGTGGTGGCACAGACGAAGACGAAAAAGTAACGGTAGTTGCGGCGTCCCACGCAGTTGTTGAGCCAGACGCAATGATGATCTTGCGTCTCAATGCAGTTGTCACACACACGGCAATGGTGAGCACGTGGGGGTCGCCAGATATTGCAACTCTTACAGTACTTCGTCGGCACTTCCATAGCAGCATTGGTGCCGGTTGCGGAAACGACCATGGTCCACTCAGTGGTGGGAGGTCCGAGATTGAGCGGATCGTCATTAGGATTAGGCGGAGGAAATGGATGTAGATTCCGGGGCAGTATCTGTAAGAGTCAGTGATGTTCAGAATGTAGAGGGTGCATGACATACGCCGGGATCCGAAGCGGACGCGTGGAAAAACGAGGAAATGGAAACTAGAAGCAAGTATGCAAAGAGAATGGGTATCGAAGGAGAAACGTGGGTCCATAGCCAAGGTGCCCTGTAATGATAGTCAGCATAGGTGACAGCAGCCGCAGGGAACGGTGTACGAACGAGAACCCGAAAAAGAGACCAGCAGGTAAAATGATTAATATAGCCGTGGCTACGTTAACCGGCCGGTCTCGCGTATTTTGTAGCCTGCCGCCCCAGCAAAAGGCAGTATTGCCAGAAAAGTACTGATAGTTCTTGCCCAACTCCCGCTTCACTGCTTCTTTGGTAGCTTCCTTGCGGGCTAGCCTAGGGGAGGATTCGGCGGACGTAAGCTTCTCATGTCCTTGATGGGGTCGCATCTGAGCTGAGCGCCCATCGCGACTAGATAGCATAAAGCTGGATCCAAAAGAACGAGGGGATTTGTTGGGCGTTGGGTCCTTGTTGGAATTATGGCCATGGGTGTTGGACAGGTCGAGATGCTGAGGCCTGGGCCGCTGCAGAGGTGTGATACTTTCGCCACGACTACGCACTGTCTCGGCGCCTGTGGGCGTGGTGTTGGCAGTGGTGCGGTCAGGCATGTCTCTGTCGGTAATGTCTGTGCCGCGCGAAGGCGGAGACTGCGGGTCATGCTCGTGGTGGAGGCCCAGCGTTGGGGCACCCCGGATTGTTTGTGTCGACCCTGTGCTTTGGCGGTACGGATTGCTACCCTCCTCGTGTGTAGCCTCTGAGTAGAGCGAGTTGTGACCGAGGAGGGAGGTGGGGCGCTGGTTGCGCTGTTGTTGGAGACGCTGCGAGCTCATGGGGCGAAAGAATCCGTGGGCGGCCAGCGGAACATGGGTTCTACTCGTCGATGTCGTTGGGCGACTCTGGTGTCCGATACTGCCGGCGACGCTCATGCCGCCTCGTCGCGCGGGGCTGGCCTGCGACCATCTGTTCTGGCTGCCCGAGTTTGCAGTCGCAATGGACGACGGCCGGGACGGCGGCAGGCCGGGCTCTCCTGCTGGGCCCGTCATGCCCAGCACGCGGCTGCCAGTGGAGCTGCGCTTCTGTTCGGACGGAGTCATGGCCATGGTGTCGTTGTTGTTGCCGGCGCTATCACTATCTCTACACGCAGCATGACATCAAATCGTTGCAACTTGGAGCTGGAGGGGAGGCGCGACCGGATTTCAGCGCGTCGTCGCGACGGGTACGGAGAGCGCAGGTGGGCGAAGACGGCAGGCGGAAGAGGAAGGAGCGACTGGAAGTGAGTGAATGGAAGGGCGGCGGCGCCAAAGGTTAATGGAAAAGTCGACTAAGACGTGTGATTGTGCTGAAAGGGGCGCATAAAGTTGATGCTCGACCCTTCGACGTTGCCCGGCGCACTGCAAGGTCCGCCTGTCTCTTTCCGGAATGGCCGTCGCTGTGACGCAGCCGCGAAGCTTGGCGTCCGCGAGATTCAACATCGAACCACTGCTCCAGCGACGCACGCAACCCATTTCTCGCAGACCACCCACGCCAATTGCACCCCACCATGTCTTCCACCATCGCCCGTTCGGCCTTCCGCGCCGCCCCGCGTGTCGTCCGCCCGACGCCCGCTTTCCGACGATGGGCCAGCGCTGCCGCTGAGGGCGAGAGACAGGCCGGCAAGGATGCCCTCAAGACAGGAGCAAAGCGCGACCCGGAGCTCTACGTATGATGCCGACACGCCCGCCGGAACATAGGAGACGGACAGCTGATTTCCTACAGGTGCTCTTTGCTATCATGAGCGGCGTTTTCGGTCTTGCAGGATGGCACTTTTGTAAGCTCCCTGCCATTTCGATTGTGCCTCGGGCGCCAACCTTCGCATACTGACAATTGCAAGCCCGCTCTCCCACCAGCGCCTCGTCGGAACGAGCCGTCGCCAAGGCCTCAAACAGTGAGCCCTGGAAGCAGGATGGCGGAGCAGGCCCCTACCAGTACCACCCTGGAGGTGACACCAGCGTCAAGAAGGATGCGCCTTCTGCTCTTAACGTCGTTGTCATCCCCAATGTCACTCTCCCCAAGGTAAGCTGGAGCCAATTGTGAGCCAGAAAGTTGACTGTACTGATGAGGACTGCAGGAGCTCCACGACACATACAACAAGTGGGGCAAGGATGGCTACTAAACATGCAAACTGCTGTCCACTACCCAATTTCCAAGTGAAGACCCATGGCAGTGGGGTACGGAATTCTCTTTTCGTTATACATCTGTATATAAGAACTCCATTGATGCCACTGCATAGATTAAACAAATCTTTTTTACTTTTTTCCTCGTATACATGTGCATCATAATTTCGGTGCCATTGGCAACGCATGAGCAGCGAGAACGCCAGACGAACTTTTGTCGGGGAGCACTACAGTCGTGTAGCTCACTATATCCCGAATGTGTACATGTACATCATGGCCCACGTAGGTAATGCTAGGAAACTCTGTGCCCCGCCCAAGTAGAGAGATACACGCCATGCCAGAGACCATAGGACAAGAGTGTCCAAGCTTTTGTCGTCGCAGGCTATCCCTATGCCTGGTCCTTCGCGGATACTGCTGTGAGCACCCGAGTAAGCGAGCCGGTAGAAAGTAGTCTATGTATGGGTATCTATAAGTACACTCTCAGTCCGCATGTCCGGCCTGTCAAAGACAATCAAGCCGCGCTTGGTAGCCTCCTCTTGATCTCGTCAATCATGTTGCTCCGCTCGACCGGTACACCATTCTTCTCAGTGTCGTTCTCGTCCTTGATTCCGAGGGTTTTGATCTTGACCTTGCCGTCTTTGAGTTCGTCTTCGCCAAGAATGACGGCGAGCGGAACACCTGCTGTTTCAGCTTGCTTGAATTGTTGTGGAAGCTTGGGCTTCAGTTTGTAAGAAAACTCGGCCTTGATGCCTGCAGCCCACAGCTCTTGAGCAACCTGCATACGCTCCGTCAATAGGCCGGTGAAGCCCTTGCCACCAAAGGCCATAACGAAGACATCTACGTCCTTGGCGCGTTGTGTCGACTGACCGCGGGCCTTCATGATGCTGATAATTCGATCAATGCCGAAAGAGATACCAACGCAGGGAATGGGTTTGCCGCTGAACATGCCCACCAGCCCGTCGTAACGACCACCTGCGGCGATACTTCCTACACCAATCTCTTGTTTTTGGCCTTTCCCAGTGGGCGCCGAGCCTTCTGTAACAACCTCATAAATCAGACCAGTGTAGTAGTCTAAACCGCGAGCGAGTGAGAGATCGAAGGAGACATTCTTGCGGGCGCCAAAAGCGTCGAGGTATGCGAAGAGCTGTTCCATCTCCTTAACACCTTGGATGACATCCTCTGATTTGGAGAGAGTCTCGTTCGTCTTGAGATACTCGATGATATCGTCTCCACCCTTGCGCTGTACCCACTCTCCAATTTTGTCCGCAATGTCCGCAGGCAATCCCTTGGTCTCCATCTCTGTTTTCACCTCATCCCATGGTAGCTGCAACGCGTTAGTAACCGACAGAACACTATGGTTCTTCTTCTTACTTTGTCTAGCTTGTCCACTGCAGAGCTGATTGGCCGTATCAGTTCGTCCTTGACACCAGCTGCCTTGAACATGCCGTCCAAGATCTTCCTGTGATTTATCTTGATTGTGTATGAGTCCCACTTGAGCGCTTCGAAGACGTCGGTTGCGATCTTGAGGACTTCCGCATCGGGAATCATGGCGTCGTACGAGCCCGCAATGTCGAAATCGCACTGGTAAAACTCTCGCATACGTCCCTTCGTCATTGCTGGTTGGTCACGACGATACACCTTGGCGATTTGGTATCTCTTGAAGTTCTGCACACTAGGGTTCATGGCGAGCCATCGTGCAAGCGGGACTGTAAGATCGTAACGCAGTGAGCAGAGCTCACCACCTTGATCCTGTAGATCGTATATCAACTTTGAGTCTTCTCCATATTTGCCGCTGAGGATCTCTTTGAGTTCGAAGACAGGCGTATCGAGTGTCGTGGCTCCGTGGCGCTTGAAGACTTCCGTCACGGTCTGGAACAGGTGATCGCGAAGTGCGGCATCCTCGCCGGTCCCTTGGACAGTCAGTCAATCATTTGCGCGCATAGAAGCAAGACATACAGTCGCGTGTGCCCTTGGGCACCTTCAGGTTGAACGACTTGCTCTTGTCTTCTTTGCCCATATCGTCGAAGCCTACAAGCGAATTTTGTGTGCAGAAGCGGCGGCGGGGTGCGAGAAGGCGAAGGCGGATAGGTTTTGGGCTGACTTTGCGGAATGCGAAAGTGTATCGGAGGGCGTCTTGGAAGAGCGCGGGGCAGACAAAGTGGGGTGAAGTGCGCTGCATGGACCTGGAAAGTGACTCAATCGCCCAAGAGCAAGCGCGCATGTGCAAAGAATCGTTCTATTCCGCGACTTGGCCCGTGCATATACGTACCGACGTCACAGCCATAGCAAAAGTATAGTCATAGAATTACAATAATTAGTTTGATGCATGGGTATCTAATGATGGCTGTGCTTGCAGCTACCATGCTGCTCGGAATTCTAGCAGATCCTTCTGTCTGTAGCACTCTGCTACTACCGTCAGAATCATGTCGATGGCTACCTTGGTGTTCCAGTCACTCTCGGTCAACGGAGTCATGGCCTGTGATCTTGCCTTTGGCGGTCCAGAAGCGGGTGTCGATTTTCCAAGAGTCATATCGCACAAATTCACTCCTCTGCGTATCTCTTGCCGCTGTCTTTCGGCCTCGGCTCGCGAGAGATGGTGGAAAGTTTGTGTTGGCGGCGTATCAGGTACGGGCATCTGGGAAGTTACCAAGCGATCGCCGAGTTGTGCAAGAAGACGTGCCCGAGCTTCTTCAAGACCTCCGTCATCCAAAACACCCTCGGCTTGTTCTTCGTCTTCGGATATGATCATTTCTGCGCCAGAATCATCCGCCTCTTCAGTTACCGTGTCTTGGGCCAGCACGACTTCGTCAGACTTCGGAAGAGCAGAGTGCGATACAACATCTTTCTCGTCAGAAACACAGCTTGGTGTATATCCCTCTTCTTTCTTGGAAACCTCTTCGTTGCGGGTATTGAAATCGGAAACGTCTGATCTGGTGTCTCCGTCTTTTGGTACATTGCGCGTCGATTTCGCTTGATCTGTGCAGAGTCGCCGCATTAATCGGCCAGCACTGAGTCCCAAATCCCGGATCCTGCTGACGCGTTCATGGTCCAAAGTTCCGAAATCTCCGACCAGGGCTAACAAAGTCCATATCCAACAGCTCTGTTGACGGGATACCTTGACAGATCGACCCAAGGCTAACGTACATCCTTGGAGAGCCACATACAGCGTCGATTCATCCATGTCGGCGACCTCTTGGAAGTTCGGGAAATTGCTCTCTATGATTTCCGACCATTGGTACTTTCCAGCCTTTAATGTATCTGTAGACTTCTTTGCTGGTTTTGATACCTGTCTGTGCTTCCGGATCTCAGCGAGCTTGTTGCGGAGATTCTGAAAGCGCTGAAGGAGCATGTTGTTGCAACCTTGTTGAGGATCAACAACGGACGGGTCTTCCTCCCACTTAGCAGCATCGTGTTCTCTATCCACAGCAATCCAAGTTCCCTCTTTATATATGACGCGTTGCTTGTGCGCAGGAGTTGTGTAGTGCGGTTCGTCATCATCTGAATCAACATCACCGGCGTTGAAATTGTTTGGCGCTACGAGCAACGTGGGAATCGCTGATGCTTCGGACCTGTCACACACGTAAGCAATATACCCAATAAGCCAAATATGCAAGAGCGACTCCCAAGCGACGAAACAAGTACTCACCGGACACTGTGAAGGTATGCTAATGCTTCGCTCGTAGACTCGTCGGACAACTGCTCTTCGCCATCGAGCCCGGGTAGCACCGTCCGTGTTCCATACTCTTGGTATGAGTCCAGAACACGTGGTCGTCTTTTGGAGTGCGCTGTGTTGCGCTCGATCCTGGCGCGCTTAACTCCAGGTACTTCCTCTTGCGCGCATTTCCTTTTGCCGCTGTATGTCGTTGGAGAAGCTGCCGGAGGGCTTGTAGGAGGTGGCTGTGTCGATATGAGGTAACCGTCAGGGCGCTGTAGTTTGTTGTAGGTCTCACCGTCTTTAGTAACAGCCAGATTGACCCCTAAGTCTGACATCTTTGCGTTGAGGAAGTCAGTCCTGACTTTAGTTGACAAGTGATTGCGGAGACCAACGCGGAGGTGAGCTACATTGGTCTAGCGTCGCACTTGCAGGGAATGCAAGGTACGTCCGCGAGCTACCAGCATCAACACAACGACTCGTCAGAATAGGATAAGTGGTTTATCTTATGAAATTAGTCTATATAGTTATCGCATATTTCTGTTATATTCCTCGGGAGTTTCCACAGCCGACCATTGTATCTGCGATGATATAGCTTTAATAGCGCGTTACCAAGGACGCGATGTTAAAGATATATCATCACAGATACAATGGTTGGCTGTGAGACCTCATGAGGAGTATGGCAGCCAACCATTCCACCACGCGAAGACCAGTGTGAACGCCAGCAGGCGTGCAAAAGAACTTCAGATTGAACAGTTGGTACAACCAGTCTGGCCTCGTTTGCCCTTTCGATGCCTCTCTTCGTGTGAGGCTCCATGCCTGCCTATCATTGCTCTTTCCTTTCCATGTTCTCTTCTACTGGCTGGTAAGGGTATTTGATCGTGAGACACCAAATGTCCAGATAATCGCAGATTGTCCAGATGACGTCCACGATGAAGCTTCCGTGTACACCTACAGCGAGGCCTAAGCACATGAACACAAAGGCGACTTGGTAAACATCGTTGCCTAGGGCACTTGGCCAGCCCACTCCGATGTGTTCCTGCAGCCACGGTCCGAGCGAGTCGATGACTCCATATATCAGAGGATACATGAGCACGTTGCCTCGCGGAAAACGTGATTTCGTGAGGTGAGAGATGATCATGCGACCGACCGAATACGCATTGATGAGACCTGCGTAGAAGATGAAAGGTACCAAATGGTGGTGCAGGATCATTGGCTGCAGGTACAGGTATGCAACGATAAGGACCCAGGCGGAGCCGAAGGTGAGGAGACCGAGGAGAGCAACGCGTGTCTTTTCACCACGGGCACGACGTGCCTTCATTACATTTAGTGCGCTGTTTGGTTGTCAGTTTGCTCTTCCGTAGTGACTCGATTGTTCATACCTCGAAACAGTGTTAAACACGAGCACGACACCTCCATAGACCATATACCACTCATTCCATGCCATGTTGTAGAAAATTTCCGGGATGATACCTTCTTTGATTCCGAGACTTTGGATCATGGAGCGTTGCCAGAAACTACCCCCACCAAGGTAGGCTGTTAAGGCATACACGATGCATAACGTTATGATACCCTCAACTGGTCCGGAAATTACTCCGAGAGTCAGCGTATGTGTGTGGTATTCATCCCACGTTTGCACGTAGAAGGTCAGCGAAGCTGCAGTAATTAGTAACGAGACCGTCAAAACTAGGCGAGTAACGGGTCTATGCTAGCTTACATGCAAATAGCGTCAGAACTGTCTTCCAGCCTTGGCCAAGGTTCATCGTTGCAGAGAACAATAGAACTTCCAATGTCGTATTGATCGCATCGACTCCATGATCGAACAGTTCACCCAGAGGCCCGCTCTGGCGGGTCCTTCGGGCCTGACTTCCGTCTACAGCATCGAATGTCTGGTAAAGGAAGAGTCCGATCGCCCAGCTGGCGTATACCCAAGGCGGACAATCCTGGTCAAGAGTTGGTGTATACCAGAGCAGGGTAAGAAAGTTGGCTACGACGAATCCGAAACCAGAAAGAGTTATCTGTGGAGTTGTGTAAGTGGAAAAGCAAGCATTTGCAGCGGGACTATAATGTTCGCTTCAAGCCAAACTTACGAGGTTGGGTCTGATACACGTTAGCATTGCTCTGTATGAGACACTAGTAGTACTTACGCCATCCACATGGGAAAACATTTTATGACCACATGATTATAGAAGGGCTTGAGAACATATTGCGAAAGCAGACTATGATCCACGCCAGAGTACTTGTACTCCCTGAGCTTCGGTAGCTTGTCCTGTCGTATGTACACCATGATTTGTAGCTCCTCTTTTGACCAGCAGCTGTCGGAGAGCTGTTGTGGGGTTCTGGCAGCGAAAACGATTTGGGCGGCGTTTGTTGTTGCTTTGTGGGTGGAGTGCCAAGCGCAACATCGTATGACGTAGCGTCTGGCCGCCCGGTTTTGCCAACCCTTTACGGTAGCGCGCAAACCGTAAGCGTTGACCAAGGAGCATACCTGTCATACACGATTCAAGTGTGTCTTACAAAAAAGCAGGATTGCTACCATCATTTGGTATTGGTCAGAGGCTATCTCGCAAATTTGTAACTAGCACTGATATGACCCTTTGCAAAAAAAGTAGCATCACATGCTAAACCGCTTACAACTCCACCAATCAGACTAGCATCATTCTGAAGTATCATACCCTATTTCCCCTTGTTTGTGGCTAGGCATGTATCGCGATCACCTACTGTAGGCAGTGTAAGGTCGCGTTGTATATCGAGATATGCGGTGTGTGGGGCCAGCTCGGTCTGATCGAAGCCTAAGCAACAGTGCTCCAGGAGCAAGGAATTAAGATCCTGCTCTTCATGGTTTGGATGAGCGGCACTGTCTTGTGCACTGTTTCGCCCCAGCCCTCCACGCTCCAGCTCTGCTCGCGGCGAACCTTGCGTTCTTCTAGGTTCGCAAACTGCCATAGATGATGTACTGTGTTGAGATCGCCGATCTGAACGAACCAAGCACCTACACCCTCCATGACTTCCCGCCGAGCCTTCAAGCCACGTCTCCAATGTGTTTCCCATTCTAGCAGGTTGCCTGGATGCAGTGTATACGAGCGCAGTTCGAATAAGCCACCGAGTTGGCGGGGCGGTGTTGTTGGCCAGAAGGAGAACTCCTGCATGAGAGAGTTTTTCTTGGACATGATTAATTTCTTGAGTTTGGCGTCGAACTCAGGGAACTCTGGGTGAGACTGGATGTTGTGTAGCGATTCGTGATAACCCTCGTATCGTTGGTATTCCCAGATGTGCACTATGGCGCATAGTCAGTACACGTGACAACTACAGCCCCGGGAGCGAATCGCAGTCTTACCGAAAGTGTTGCAGTCTCCCACTTCAGTCCGCCAGCTACCTACAAGATGGACCTTGTTCTCGGGGATAGAAGCCATCTTCGGATACCAACTTCCAACCAGCTCAGTGTATTCTTCGACCTTGTCTGGCTGTACTTCGTGGAACACAATCGAGTGGACGTATTTACCGCGAGCCAGGACCTGAGAAAAGCTGCGCTCAATGTCCTTGTCGAGTTCGCGGCCCTCGGGTGTACCGTAGATGAGAGATGACAGCGCACCGCCCTTCTTCTTGCCGTTCTCTTGCTCACGGGCGCGAGCCTCTTCTATAATTGATCGAGTTAGCGCTCTTGAATCGCCCAAAGTGGGTGGTAGGCGACGGACTTTCTTCCTGTTCCTTTCGCTTCTGAGCTGCGGCCAGACCATCACGGAAGCTCTTCTGCTTCTCATTGAAGCTAGCAGCACTATCAGGCGTGATGTCTGCCAGAGTAGGAGCTCTGACTGGGCTCTGTGTCGGAGGCCCGGTACCGAATGCCTGAGACCGGACAGCTGTGGCACATAGCGGGGAGAGGATGCCGCCGCGCACGCTGGCACAAACACGACGTGTGAGCATGATGGTGGTGTCAGAATAGGAGCTCGGGGCCGAGGTCAACTTGAGTATTGTTTCTGACAGCGTGTGCAGAGCGGAGTAATGGTGGTGAGGGTCGTGTTTGGCTCGGTCTGGGTGGGTGGCTTGGAAGCTTCCCCTCAATCAACTGCAGCTCTCCCTGTCAGGCCGCTAGCGTGCCGCTGTGTAGATGGGGCTCTGGGGTAAGCGCGAGCGACCCACACTGCAAGCTTTCCCCGCTGCAGTACCCAAGACGATCCATACCTACAAACACGGCACCTCAACAGGTCACTGCAAAGCATCACGGCTGCCACCGCTAACGTTGGTCACGCCCTTCAAGTCCTGAGTCTCGAACTTTCTTTAACGGTCAATTCATATAGCTCCAAAGGTCAAAGATGTGTGCACGAACTCAGCACGAGAGTCGTTGCATCTCACTTTCAATCATAACAATCGTACCCGCTACAGCCAATGCTTTCAGAATTATAGCAACGGCCATATTCTCTTACCACGTCGTCTTTGACATACCCATGCTCTACTACGACCGTATGTGGGATGCCACTTACGAATACGATAACCGTCCCGCAAAGATAAAGCCCACAATATACTACACGCTGCACACCTCGAGATTGGAATGTGAATGTAATAGGTATCAAGACATCGTGGCAGAAAAAAACTTGTGTCCCTGGGAACATGAATGTTTAATCCTCGTCAAATATCTGTAGTACGTTGTCCAGAATAGTTATGATAACGCGGGCTTGGAGGCCGGCGTCGGCCATGTTGTTGCCTTTGTGAGGTCCCATTATGGATGGCCTACATAATGTCAGTTGATGCACGTAATCTCGACGGGCGACAACTTACGCCCAGCAGATGCCCAAGTTTGCAGTGCTCATACGATTAACTTCAGAAGATTGCTGCACACGATGTAAATGCAGAACCAGGGCACGAAGCGTCGCATAGTTCGGATCAGGCAAGGCATTGATCAGCGCGTGCATGGAGTCTCGGCGCATGGTCTCGTCATCGATACGTGCAGCATCGATGTACTTGCCGTAGAACTCGCGAGTAAGCAATGGGTCAGGAAGCTCGCGGAAGAATTGTTTCAGCAATCCAGCCACACTGTTCACGTCATGTTGGAAGGCTTCTGGGTTACGGAAATCCACCTGGGAAGCATCTGCACAGCATTAGTTGGAATCGCCAATAGATCTCCACCATAACGTACCACTATCGAAAAGAGCTTTCATCTGCTGAATGTGTGACGAAGTCCCAGGGATACGATAGATACCCTCTACCTCTAATCCGTATAGATCCACGGCCTGTATACACTGGTAAACCACCATGGGTACAGGGGAGCCATCTCGGTGGAAAAGGTCCTCCAAAGTCACGCCAAAGACAGGATTCACTGGAGGTTGAGCGTTATTGTAGAGAACGCCACTGGTTTGCTGTGCGGTAGCCTGGCCAACGGGACCACGAGGATAGTCTGGCTGGGAGTATGGGTTCTGCGTGACAGGTGAGTAGGGCGAGCCAGTAAAGTGTGGTATTGGGGGCTGCGATGGTTGCGTTTGCAGTGATGAAGACGGTGGCTGTGAGGTAGTTCCAAATGAGGGTTGCTGTAATGGCTCATGAGGAGGAGGGCCCTGGGGCGACAGAGGATTCGCGTCCGGTTGTGGCATGGAGAATGAGGGCGGCGGCTGACTCTGCAGCTGCTGCATAGAGGCACGACGGTTACCACTTGCAGCCGCTGGTGGTGTTGGATGTGACCGTGTCGCCGCCTGTGTTGGGTGCTTCACATACTGTAGCTCCGATCTGGCCATAGGTGCTTTAGATGCATGGCTCAAGATGTACTCGTCAAAGTCCCGCTCGCTGTTGATCTGGTAGATCAACTGGTTGATGCTGGGTGGAGTTTGAGCAGTTGAGCCTTTCAGCGGCTGTGGGCTGACAACCTGGCCGTTGTTGACGACGAGCTTTTCGTTGAACGAGGCTGCCGCAGTGTTAGTGACGATTTATGTAGGGGTATAACAGACTTACCGTATTTCTGCATCTCCATTGTGAGCGCGGCATCGGTTTCCTTGATAAGATCCAGCAGCGCAGTGACGGCCTGGGGACGCAGAGTCGCGACGAGCTCTTTGCGAGAGACCTGGGCCGTCTGCACCTTGCTGGCATAGTCCTGGTCTGCCGCCTGTGTCTTGCGCTGCAGGTCCTCCTCGTGCTGAGCGGCCGACTTGGGTCCTTTTAAGCCAAACTTTCGGCCTGCGCCAGTATCGCCTGTCTTGACGCGATCAAGGTCTTCAGCAAGCTGGTCGTACTTGGCCTTGGCCTTCTCGGCCAGCCGTTCGGCGTCTTGCACTTTGTTCTCTGCGGAGAGACCCTGCTGCTTCCACGTCTTGCGGCTCGTATCCATCTTGTTGGCTAGTTGCAGCAGATTCTCATGCATGGCGTGCAGAGCAAGGCCAAACTGGGTGCCATTGTCGGCGATGCGCTCGTTCGCGTGGAGAACCTGCTCGAACTGCGTCTGATAGCTCTCGTGCCGCGTATCGGGCTTTCGTACGCCATCGAGGGTCAAGCGGCTCAGCTTCTTGAGGCTACCGGCATGCTCCTCTTCTAAGGCTCCTCGGCGCTTGAGGAAGCTGGCGAAGTCCTGCCGGGCGTGTTAGCGCATCCGAGTGCAGTCGAGTCGATTAAGCCGTCACTGACTCTGGCGCTCGCGATGCTAGCCTTTAGGCGGTTGAGAAGGGTCGAAACGCCCACATCAGAGTGCAGGATATCGTGGACGCGCTGCTGCGTTTGCGCATCGTGAGGCGCAGTCCGTTGTTCGGGCGATGCGGGAGTTGCATCTTCAATGGGCGAATGTTGGGCACCGTCCTGGGTAGGGGACGATGCGTTGTTTAGGTCGGGGTTGAAGCTATCGGTGCTTTCCATAGGCGGAATTATGGGCGGGGCAGCCATTGTAGGCGTAGATATCGTAGTGGCCGTTGTCTACGTAGTCAGTCGTGTTGTGGTCGGACTGCGCAATGCCGGGTGGTTCGGTGGAGATGCTGCACGGGGCAAGCATGCAACGTCATCCTTCCCGCCGTCAAGTTCTGCCTACCATCTACACGCGACCCATCAAGCACTGCAGCACTGTCGACCTCTGGCAGCGCCCTTTTCTTCATTTACCACTGTCGTCCGTCCATTGCTCACCTTCGCAATGTCCAACGGCTTGCCAGATGAGGTGGTTACCTGCCTCCAGAACGCCCGCTTTGTGAGTCCTCTCCAAAGACATTCATCTCATCTTCATGTTTCCATCTTGGAAATTATTTTCAACGCCATGTCTCATCTCTGCATACTGCTGCTTTTCTCCATTTGCCTGTTTAATTCCTCTGAGACCTATGCAATCAAGTCTTGTTTGTCATATCCGCTATGCAAGCACGTGCTTCATCTTCACAACGCATCCCTGGCGTCTCCTATACGTACATGTCCAGTTCTAACAGACTTGGACAGCTCCATCTTGCAACATGTTCGGACAACATTCCTCATGTCTCGTTGATGAATTATACCTACCTACCTAACACCCCTTATTCTCAAACTCCCATCATTATCATGACAACACCTAAAACGTCTCGCAAGACACAAAATCTCGAGGCGAATGCCGTCGTTTCTCTTCTGGTACACGATTGGATATCTCATCGGCCTCCAACGTTAAACCAGTCAGGTCGTTCACCCTCACCATCGGGTCCTGCGCCACGTTCTGGATCATTAGCTGAGCTCCTCCTTGGTATGAACACTGCGTCCCTAAGTCGTATAAGTGCCACCATCAATGGAATTGCTGAGCTTGTACCTTCTGGTTCTGAAGAAGAGACATGGTATAAGGCCCAGCACCTAGCCAACAATACCTTCAGTCAGGGTGGTGAGGATACGTACTCAAGTTCTCCTGTTGGAGAGGGACTGTGGGGTGGTGGTGGGTTAGGCTCGCAAACAGCTGCAGCAGATGAAACTTTAAGAGAGGGTGACGGAGGCACCAAGTGCTACGTCGAAGGAGGAGAGGTCAGGGTTGTCGTGGTCAAGGTTCGTGACGGACGCATCGCAGATTGGAAAGGCCAAGTCAGAGATTGGAGTCTCTCAGATAACACGCAAGATTCTAGGCCCAACGGCGTGTCATCATGATTATCACCACGAGTCTTTTTCTCGACACAGAAAATAAGAGGTTGTGTGTATTTGGTCGATTCCATCTGGGTCGGTAGCGCTCAATACCAAAAAAGGTCTGAATATTCTCCAGACATGAAGCATATTTTTCGGATATTGCTTTTTATCTTTCATGGTACTTGCGCAGTTTAAAGGATAAGAAACACATCCGGGGTACCAAGACTCGGGTTGCGTATGCAAGGGGCAGCCGTGTTCGTTCATCACTCGGTTAGTGCACATCCTCCATCAAATCAGATGAATTTATCTTATATGTCTTAGCACTGTTTTGTGCGTGGCTTGAGGCTATCTCCTTTGTCTCAGATTATCCCATGGGCAACCAAAAGTAGACCGCTCCCCAGACCTGTTTTCGATTTCACATCCTTAAATACACCCGTAACATTGCATGCCATTCAGACAGAAGCTCTTGTAATGCTCAACATGCAAAAGTTGCTTGCTCATTCATCTGTACTGTAGCGTTTGTCCGTACCGAGATCAAAAGGCAATAAGACAACCCCACCCTGTATTGGTGGCTAAGTGAAGGGGACTGAAGCTGCCCCATTAGGTGAGCGATGAATTGGTATCGTTTATGAATGCACTGACCGTTTGAAAGGCGCAGACTCGCTGCCTTCTCAGCCTTGGCGCCGCCACAAACAAAGTATCTGCTCTCACCTTCTCATCGAATTACCACCAACCTCCACTGCTCCAACTTTCTTATTCTGCAATTGTTCTATTGTCTTCCTTCTATCTTCTCTGAATAGCTCATACATCAATTTCCTAGCATCATGAACGCAGAGATCTACCGCACTCTCGCTGCCATTCGCGAAGAGCCCCAGATCGTCATCGATGTGGTAGATCGCTTCGACACAGCTCTTCTCACTTGCACTGACGGCTGGACCCGTGGCGAGAACATGGTTATACTTCCTGATAATCTCCCCACCCTCTTCGGAAACGGGGTTGTCGAGCTCTTCAAGAAGGCATTGGCCGAGAAGGCAGGACTGCCGATCGATCTCACTCCTATGGAGAGCGCCAATAGCTCACACACTCTTGTAAAGATGCCAAAAAACACCGGACACTCACCTCAAGTGCAATTCAACGCTCTATCTGTACAGACGCCGGGTTCTGACCGTACTGCGATCGACATAGCCACACTCACTGCTGCCTTCAAGAAGGCTCCTCGACCGATGAACTGCTGGATCATCTTTCGAGATGCGATGCACAAGCAGCTGAAGGCCGAGTTTCCGAATCTCACTGTTCAGGAGATCTGTAAGCATACAACCTACTATCTGCCTCTGACAAAGTGTACTGATAATGTCATAGCTACACGCTGCTCCGAAATTTGGCGCAGCCTGACCCCAGAAGGCAAGAAGCCCTGGCAGGCTGCTGCACAGTCGGCGAAAGAAGAGCACCTCCGCCAGCACCCCGACTACAAGTATACTCCCAGGAAACCTGGCGAGAAAAAGAAACGTCAGTCGCGCAAATCTAAGCGTGCATCAGCGGCTGCAACTGTTCCGGAGGTTCTCAATTTCCAACTCACCCCCAACATTCCATCGACATCGCCTAGTTCGACCTATGAACCTGCGCTTCCCTTTGAAGACATCGCTGCCGATGTTGGCAACGCCTTCACTGACGACCTTGCTCAGCTCTTCGAGCCGGCAAACGTATTTGATATATTTGCCCAAGACTCAACATCGGCGGACTTCACCTACGACTCAGAGTCTTTCCGTCACAGTCGCCTTGACGAGGAGTTCGGCATGGACTTCGACATGAACGCAAATTTTGCGCTGCTTGATGATGAGGCTTTTGCTTTCCGCGACGGCGCAGACGGCAATGCCATTCTGCCTGCCTTCTTCCAGGACACCTACTAGAAAGGTCTCAAGTACCCAAGCTTCGTCTTCACGGGCTAGGCATCAAAAACATTCACGTCCTCGGTCGAATGTTCATGCTTGTTATAAGAGACCGGAGAACCCCACACCATGTCACTCTTGCATGTCCTTCCCTTGCGTTCTCTCATGCTTCGATATTCTCGACGCGGACCATCGCCTCTTTGGGTTTTCATCGGTAACGCTGTTGGCAACGCCCTTGCTTTGCCATGATCACTCTCCTTCCAGCGGCTTACACCCATCAAAAGTTCACATTGTGCGCCGCTCCAAATCATCGTTCCGGTTTTCGTAGTTGGCTTTCCTCATTGTCACTTATGGTAGATGCAGCTAGAGTCTCAACAGAAAGCTACCAAGCAGCATCCATTATCAAGCGTATCTTCCCCCTTAACCCGTTCACGATCACGACTCACGACCCATACTACCCCGCATTGAGCACACGGCTGCACCATACTACAAGAAGAGACTTATGAGTCTTGGTGATGGAGAAACGGGCATGGAGCGTATGATTGTTCCACCCAAGACCTCAATGTGGTTGATGGTCACTATTTCCTTTCCTATGAAAACTTTTTAGATACCCCCTTGGACGTATATTTCGTCAAACGATGTACTTTAGATAGTAGTCGGTTATGCAGCGCAAGTGCCTGACAACCAGCAAACATATCACTCTCAAAAAGAGACAAATGGAAACTAGATAAAATTCACAAACCCTCCCCTCACCTGCTTACCCTTGCTTGATCATGACATGACATGACCTGATGTGATGTGGTGTGACTCGCTTACTTGCTTTGATCTACTTGATCACTTGAACGTGTGTTGAAATGTAAGGAGGTCTATGTGATATGTGATGGTAACGTCTGTGGCTGCATGGAAGGATGTGATAGGCTTGCATGGCGGTGGCGTTTAAGCAAGGAGAGTTTTTGACCCTGCCACTGAGATTATTCCGAAATAACCCTTCGTAAGACTGAGGGATTTGTTAGATGCAAAGAGATGACATGTATATCTCTCTGTGGTCATGAATCTTGACACCAAGTGGTTTGTGGCCGCGCATTAGTGTCTCGAGTCCTTGGATGGTCTCGCTGCTTGCCAGAGGCGACGCATACCTAGGTATGTTGAGCAGCATCTCTGTGCGCAGATACACGCTTGAACCGCTCACAAGGTACTAGCAGATACTATGAAAGTCTGAGGTAGCCTTATGAGACCTATGGATTATACAACATAGCTTGGTGTTAAGTTAGGTGCTCAGAAAGGGGTTCGTTCGCTGACCAGAGAATTGTCGGCGCAACATTGTGTCAAGCCTGGCAAGCGTTTCTCAAGATAATTGGAAAGATATCAAAAATGATTTGCGAGCGCTCGAGAACATTTTGCAAAATGACAATTGAAATGGAATGTTTTCTGTGTCAAGTAACGCACCTTCCTCAATATGGCGACAAGCGTGGTAACGCTTCTGACATCTCTCAATGATAATTTCAGCAAGTATATCTGACTAACTCGAGCATCTTCATGTAGTATTGGTGTTGGTGAAGCCTTATGGCGATACATGTCCATTTCCCTGCGCCCATCTAATACAACTCAGGATCGGACAGTACGGCTCACATCGCAGCATTTATAGTTTTACTGTATCCAGGTAGAATGCATATATGTGAGGACACGAAAATATGGACCAAAATGGAGTATGCGCGGCTGAAAATGTTCTTCCTATTTCCTATATTTATGTATAATTCCTTGATACGACATGATGAGCTGCCGTCTGACTTCCAGCCTATTTCTATTTGCCCTCTACGTGACCCTCATACCCATCTTTATACCATATACGCGATGCCTCAATGTGTCTCCGGCTCTGCCTGTCCTTCTCACAGCGACCTCCGGCCTTTGCAAGTGCTCTTAGGATTCTCGTATCGCCCTCCTGGCAGTAATTCCCATGACCCACATGCCAACATGTCTCAAATCTAAGTGTTTATCCTTTATGTCCATGTATCATTCTCGACATCAGCTACCCTTCCAATCACTACACCATATGAACGTGCCACACCGCCACTGCGTACCCACCTCCTTATGCCCTGTCGGCCCAATTGGTCTAGGGCACATCCAAAATTGCCTTCCACGGTTCATACCAGGTTTCTTTGTCGTCATCGAGATGCAAGGTTCACCATGTTCGCACCGCGGAACCGGTTTCTTAGAGAAGAGTTTTGTCCAATCTTCCTTTGATGCTTCTTGGGAGGCGCGTGGATCGGCGTCAAAGGAGTCAGAGAGTATGGGCGATTGGGGAGGAGGCATTTCCGTGCTGGATTGGCTAGGTGCATCGTTAGTTGCAGCCGGAGAGACAGGTGCTAATGAGTCTTTGGGTAGCTCTGCATCTGTAGGTTTACTCTGCGGTTGGAAGAAGCCCTTCAGTGACTGCTGACCCTTAGGAACTTTGGATGTAGTGGCCGGGGCACTAGATTTGCCTCTCTTGATTGGCTTCTTGGGTGATGCGGATGCTGAAGCGCGTCGCTTTTCAGCCGATTTGAGCGGGCTCTGGCTTGATATGGGGTTGCCGTTGACTGCTGAGGACATGTCTGCCATAGAGGCTGCGATCGCTAATTCCAGGTCTCTGTCCAATTCATCGACGGTCGTACTAGTGAACGACGTAACATCCGTCTTTGGTGGACTTTCCTTGTCGACAGCCGTCGGCGTCGGTGCTGGCGTAGATTTCGGTAAAGCGGGCTTTTTGCTGAACATGTCTCGGATATTCCTTCTCTTCGTAAATTCAGCTAGTAGCTTTCCGCTGAGAGGTGGAACGTCATTGACCGTATCGTACTCTCGTTGTCGTACACCATCTTTAAACATGCCTGCTGGGTTCATCAAGTCCAAGATATGAACCTCTTCCTTAACCTCGCCCTCTCCTGTTGTTGGTCCGAGTGACACTGGCACCACGTCTTTTGTGACAGCGTACACCGGGCAATGATCCGACCCCATAAGTCCCTCCTGGATGTTCGCCTCCTTGAACCAGTCCTTGATGGCGATACTGCACAATATGAAGTCGATGCGCGACCCAAAATTGCCTGGTCTGGCATTGATTTTCTGCTCCCAGTGTGTAAACATGCCTTCACGGTCGGGGTGGAATTCTCGACATAGATCATATAGTACTGGCTCTTCTCGCCCCTCGTCTCGCTGGCCCGGCACCACTCCATTTAGCAACAGCTGATTGAAGATTCGACGATTCGGCGTGCTCAGATATTCCTCATGCGTCATTCCTTCTGCCAGCATGTTATCCTGTGCTCTAGCGGTATCGATAAGATCTCTAGAGACGTTGAGATCGCCCGTGAGTATCACGTTCTTGCCCATCTTCGTCAAGTTCCGTATCCGTGTCTCTAGCGCTGTAAGGAAGCCGATTCGGAAGCCGTCTCGTAGGCCATTGCTGTTCGCTGGACTATAGACGCCGAAAAGGACAAAGGCTGGAAACTCGAGCACCAGGCAGCGTCCTTCTGAATCGAGACTATCAGCGTCAAGATCAGGAGGGAGGCAGGCGAGTTGTGATGGGCTGAGGTAGCCGCCGATGCTGGCAGGTTCTGGGAGGTCGCGGTACGACGTCGTCGAGCCAGGAGGGCAGAGGGCGCCTAGGACGCCTTCTTCTGCGCGTATAGGCGCACACACGGACTGGCGCGTATAGATACCAACGCCCGAGTATCCTCGCTCGCGTTAGCAGGAGGTCGCAGCGCAAGCGTCGCGTAGTATTGGGGAAGTACCCTTCTTGTGCTTTGGCAGACTGAAATAGCAGTCCCAGCCAGGTACAAGCACCATGTCATCTGTCAGATCTTTGCGCTGGATCTTCAGCTCTTGCATGATGACGATGTCCGTCTCCAGGATATCGAACATGGCATTGAATGTCCGGTTCGTACTCCATGGCTTGTAGCCAAAGGGATTGCGAATGCCGTTGACATTCCAGGTGGTGATGCGAACCATGGTGGCGTGTATTTCTATGGAGGGCGACAACGAATGTAAACCAAGACCGTCATCACTTCACAATCTCAACTCACACGGAATCCCACCGGGGCATGCAAGACACAGAACGCGACTTCGCGCGACCGACACGACGTCACATTACCCGGCAACCGAGCTCGCCCACGCTAACACAGCAATCGGGAAACTCCGCATCAGCCCATCCGCCAAGCCTCTGTTTCGTCAATTCGAGCTCCCTCCGTCACACCTCACGCCAACACCAATTGCACCCCATCTCCACTCTACCACGCCGGACAATCGTCGCCATGTTCGCCGCTCGATCCTTCGCCCGCGCCGCGCCTCGTCAGGCTCTCGCCCGCGCCCCTGCCCGCGCCGGCCGCCGCAACTACAGCTCCGAGAGCCCCAAGCAGTTTGCCGGAGCCGAGGACAACGAGTTCAACCGCGAGCGTGCCCACATTGCTCAGCACGCTGCCGAGTCTGGCGAGTTCTGGCGCAAGTTGTCGCTCTAGTAAGTACACGATTACTTGAGGCGGGTGTGGACTCAGAGGAGGGGGGAATGTGGGAGAGACAGAGGATTGTGGACGGAGGGAGACACGCGGGGAGACCACGCCATTGGAATTATCTTTTGAAACGAGAAATTGATGGAGCAAGGAAACATGCTAATTCTACGATAGCGTTGCCATCCCCTGCATCATCGTCGCCAGTGTCAACGCCAAGGTCAGGTGGGATGCTCACTGGGAGCACGTAGCCCACGAGGAGCACGAGAACCCTCGCGCAGAGAGGCCCGAGTACGCGTACCAGAACATCCGTACCAAGAACTACTTCTGGGGAGACGGTGACAAGGTAAGATGTTCTTGGCACAGGATGACATATATGTGTACTGACATGCAAATAGACCCTCTTCTGGAACGACAAGGTCAACTACCACAAGAAGGACGAGTAAACGCTTACTCGGCACGCTTTCAAACATTGATATCAAGAGACAGTCGAACCAGCATCTAGACCAAGTGTGGGGTTGGATGTGTATATAGCACAACAAGCGCAAGCTGAGAGTAGACCAGCAATACATTTCCTTTGTGTCTGCATTGTTGTCTGTGACACAAATTCTACTGGTAGTCAATCTCACATCTCTTGCGATCCATAACCCTCATCCCAAACGAGGTTATGTCTCATAGCCCATTCCTCTGCCACTTTTTCATCACCCCTCAACTTTGCAATAATCGCCTTTTTCATCAACTGCTCGCATTCCCCATCCAAATATGCCGCTTCCTTGAAGCATTCCGTCGCCCGATCGACGTAGAGTTCTGCTTTGGCAATATTGCCAGAAAAAGTGCGATTTGATGCTTGCTCGCCTGCTTTGGGTGTCGAGGGGCGTTGGGATCCAGTATTAGAAGTTGGCGGCGACGCGTCGGGATTACCAAGACCCATACACGAGTCTGCTAGGTGTGAATAGAGAGTGCCTGCAAGCATAGTATCTGCGCCTTCCAATGCCTATCATAGACATCAGTGTAAGTAACTGTATGGTGTTTGGAAATGAGAAATCAACATACCTGCGGCAAAACAGCCTCGATCAATCTCTTCGCTCCTTGATACTCTCCCAAGGTGTTCAATATTGCGCCTAGACATCCCACCGCAGTCCACAGTGAGCTTGCAAGTCGTGTCCTGAAACTAACACTCGCCGCCCTGAGCGCTACACTGAAGCCCCTCTCTGGTCTACCCACTCTTCTCCACAGCTCTGCTTGCATTAACAGAACCGAGATACGCTGCTGAACATCTGCGTTGTCTTCTTTGAGAGATTGAGCAAGTGAAGAAATACATTGGTAGGCGAGAGGAAACTGCGATGTGGAAATAAGGTAGTCGATATAGGTTTCGTGTTGAAGAAAGGAGAGTTCCGGGTCGAGAGAGGGCATGGAGGGCGTGGCTGAAGGCTTGAGAGTCTCGAGTAGATGGGAAGCGGTTGACCAGTCGGATCTGCTTTAGGAGGTTAGTGTTGTTAATTGGGACTTGAATCTATGTAGGGAGGACGTTACCTTCGGATAGCTCTCCTGAGCTTGATAAGACCAATACAAAGTACCAGGAATTGATGGAATTTCAGTGATTTGTACACTGCGGGGTCGACAGCTTCGAGCATCTTGATGGCCTCATCATAGCGGCCGCTCTGGCTTATGACGAAAGCTCGGCGACCAATAGCACGGAGACGTTCTTCGATCGGACAGGAGTGTGAGTAACAATCGAGAAGAAGATCACAATGGATGTTGGCAAGATGCGGGATGCCAAGTCGCTGATAAAGGGTCGCCGTCAGCAGCATCTGACTACCGTAACTGTTGATGTTCTCCTTGATGTTAAGGTGTGAGGACTGGTAGATGTGTTCTAGTGCTCGGGGTATAGAATCGCCCTATTGATGTTAGCTCCGATGATCCATTCATTCCAAGGAGAACCACGTACCATTGTTAGAGATAACTTTGCCTCGTTTAGTAAAGTTGCACTGAGCAGACTGTACATTCTGGCCTCCTTGGCTTTGGTTTTCAGAAATGTCAACGCATCCCTTTCAGTTCCCAGCATGCTCATGTAACCAACACCCTTCATCTGTTTGGGGTAGGCCTTTGCCATATGATTCAGCCAGCTAAGACTGAAGCTCAGGCAAGTCATGTCCTGATTCTCTCGTGCTGTAGCAATTGTCTCATTGATGGCAGCAATTGCTTCACCAAAACAGCCAAAGTCGGCTTGTAGGATAGCCATGTGTAGCAGAGCATACTGGTAGTGAATTTTCTCACGCGTCTGCATGGCATAGTCGTAGTATCGGTGTAGGTTGTCAAACGCAGACGTGTAGTCTCCTGCTTTCCAGGCATCGAAGAACTGCACGAGATGCGCTTGTCGATGCACTATGCCCGACGAGCTGACCATACTACGGAGCTGGCCCTTCATCTCGTCAGGAACGCGGTCTCCAAATCTCTGAAGTCGGTCGAGTTGGAAATCCAGTATCCGGTCCAGATCATTCAGACTCATACCCGCACCCTGCTCTTGATCCTCTTCCAGATGTCCATACGCGATCTCATACACATCATCGCCACCTTGCAGGCCCATCTCAGACACCACCATGTCCACGCCACCTGATGCGAGGCCAGCCAACCTTTTCGTCCATTGGGCTGTTGGGGCCCTGTACCTAATGAATGAAGACCAGAGCTTCATCGAATCATCAAACTGTAGCCTTGTGAACTCCAGGTGTGCCCTACGGACGAATGCTCCAAGAGGAGATGTCTTGGAAAGATAGATACGATCTAGCGACTCTTCGTCTTGTGAGCCGGGTGGCGGTGGAGTAACCAGATCCAAGATACTGTCGAACAGCGCGTGGAGGGCATCGAAGGAGTTCATTTCCCACATGTGCTTGAGAAAGAGATCGAGAAGAGTTCTGCCCGGCATGTTTGACGCATGTTCCGACAGCACATCTTCAAAGGCATCGATTGAGAAAGATGTATCTTGTTGATTGGAAGTGGCAGAGCGCTGTGGCCGAGCGCTGGATTGTGCTGGGGGTAGATTGTTTGACAAGATGAAGGAAAGTATGGGTATCGTAGCGGAATAAGGAAGACTTGAACTGCAGTAAAGACGAGTCAGAACAAGAAGGCTGATCTTCTGCGCTGTGAGGTAGCGCGGGGTAGCCATCTTTGGTGGGTGAGGCTTGAAGTTCGTAGCAGAACAAAGCGTTGGGCGCAGAAGATGTGAGTATTCGCACTTATCGCCGACACGAAAACTGTTGTGTTGGTTCGCACGACATCTGCACTGTACTCAAGCAAACCGATAGCTGGTCTATTTGTCGAGGCTGCAAGGTTTAAGATGGAGTGTTTGTTGGAAGTCGTGGGAGGGTGTCAACAGCCGAGGCGCGCAGCGCGTACCTGTCGCGAAGTCATGCGCCTCAAATATAGTCCCACTTACAGCTCTGTCTAGGATGCTGTTGCCAAACAATCATACTACATAGAAGTCGATAGCGCAGAGTTACCAGGAGATTGTGCAAAAGACCGTGCAAGTTCGTATTCAATATATACATCTATGTAATCTTCTGTCTTGACCCCTCGCCAAATCCAGAGTCTTTCCTCGCAATGTTCTTGAGATCGTTTTGACTAGACTGCAGTTGCGGCACTGGAGCGCTGTTCAAGAACTCATCCTCGCTAGTTGCGTTGGTTGCCCAAATCTTGCTGATGCTCAGATCGTATGGTCCGGGTATCCGGTCTATCAATGAGATACCCACTGTCCTTACCTTTTGTGTCAACATCTCCCTCTGTGGCTCTACAACCTGCCCATGGTTCGTCCGCACAAACTCGTTCCACTTTATCAGAATCGTCTCCCACTCGCCAGGTGTCTTGGAGTGCAGCAAATGCTGGTGAATATCCGTGGGCACAATGGACTCGGTCTGCACGTTCACAAAGTACTTGCGACCGTCTGACTTGAACTGAATTGCAAGGAAGTTGTACATGGTCACATCCCACAATGACTTGCCGAAGATAGTTGAGCCTCGGTCAAGTGTTCTCCATCCCGCATAGCCTGTTCTTTGAATGTGTGGTTGGTTGTGTGGTAGTTGTGTGGATATGGTACCGTGGAAGCGGACGTGTGAGGGCTCGGTTTGGGTGACAGGATGGTAGTCGAAGTTCGCGGTGGAATAGCCGCCGATGTCTTTGTCGCTCATGCGCTTGCATCGTTCCAGGTCCTCAGGCTGGTTGAAGTGGATCAGAGGGAAGGGCTTGGACGGTGACCTAATGCCTTCGAGCTTGAGTGCTGCGGAGATTAGTGGCGGCGCATCCAGCACATGCAACTGCAGAGCTCACCGAAGTTGGAGAGGCGCTTGAATTCGTCCAGACTCCGCTTCAAGAAGCCGGGTGCGAGGCAGGCCGAGGTTGGTCGCATGATGGCGTGAAAGGTGTGGGGAATCTAAAGGGACAGTCCGTGAAAGCTGCGGGCGCAATGGCAGTTGGACTTCGATGAGCGCACGACGCACTGCAAATGACGCCGCGGTAGTCTCGCCAGAGGCTAGCCGCTTTGGTTGACCATACCAAAAATCTGGGGACAGCTGCATGGGCAAATACATCCCACCACCTCTGCTGACTGACGAGACAAACCCCTCCAATGATACACGATTAACCCGGCGTTTCTGACACTTCCAACTATTCATCTGCGCGTGCCTCTCTCAACCCACACTGCCATACTTCGCCACGCGCCTTCTCTGCCTCGATGACACTGCAAGAAGCCTCCAGGCCTCGAAGTATTCGAGACGACACAACCCAACCGCTGCAGCCCCTCCTCCCGTCGTCGCGAGAGTTGGGAGAAGTCACTCCCCCCAAACAGCCAGATGGCGCACCGGTAGCGAAACAAGATCCCAAGTCTGGAAAGTCATGGGCGCATTTTGTCGCTGGAGGGTAACATCACCTCCGACTCTCGATCATAACTCTAGGACTAACATTTGAGCAGCCTCGGTGGCATGGCCTCGGCGACTTTGACAGCCCCGCTGGATGTCCTGAAGACTCGTCTGCAATCTACTTTCTACCAACAGCATCTCGCCGCAATGCGTTCCGCCCGTGGCCTACCCCCAATCGAAACCATGTCCTTCGGTCGCAGCTCGCTCCTCCACATTCGAGAAACTGGAGAGATATTATGGCAGGTTCCCAAGGCAGAGGGATGGCGGGCACTTTTCAAAGGGTTGGGTCCCAATCTTATCGGCGTAGTCCCGGCACGCGCAATCAACTTCTTCGCATATGGAAACGGCAAGCGGCTGATCAGCACACACTTCAACAATGGCCAGGAGGCAGCATGGGTGCATCTCTGCAGTGCGGCTGCCGCCGGTATTGTGACTGGAACTGCCACCAACCCCATTTGGCTTGTCAAGACGAGATTGCAACTTGACAAGAACATACACGCGGATGGCCGCGGGCGCCAATACAAGAACGCATTTGACTGCACCATGCAAACTGTACGGAAAGAGGGTGTTCGCGGTCTGTATCGCGGATTGACTGCCAGTTACCTGGGTGTTACTGAGAGCACATTGCAATGGATGCTGTACGAGCAGATGAAGCTATCGCTGGCACGGAGAGAAGAACGCGTCATCGCTAGCGGAAAACCACCAACTGTTTGGGACCAGACTGTGGCGTGGACTGGCAAATTGACGGCTGCCGGATCAGCCAAGTTCGTCGCTGCGCTCATCACATATCCACATGAGGTCGTCCGAACACGTCTAAGGCAGGCACCAATGGAAGACGGCCGACAGAAGTACACAGGCCTCGTTCAATGCTTCCGATTGATCTGGAAAGAAGAAGGTATGGCGGCGCTCTACGGCGGTCTGGTGCCTCACATGTTCCGTGTGGTACCCAGTGCCGCTATTATGTTCGGTACCTACGAAGGTGTACTGAAGTTCCTTGGAGAGAGCAGTAACATGTGATGAGTCGACGTTTTTGGCATACAGGTGTAGATGAGTACAGGTTTTGATGCATAGAAACGGCGTTATGAAAAGTTGGGACCTTGGGACGCATATATGGCGTCTTGTATCACCACTCAGCTCTGATTGAGCATGTACTTGTATAATGTTGGTTACACGGGAGCATATACGACGACATGAAATCTGTGGATACGGTTCGTGGTAGACATTTGAGACCAGTAGCAAGCGTGCGTAGCTCTTCTCTGAAAGAATATCTCTTGTAATTACAACGAACATGTTGCATTGCACATTATTGTTCTTCTTTCAATCTGCGGCTTGCAGTAAATACGTAGTTTCAAAAGGCACCAGCGCAGGGCCAATCGTACTATGTGCCTCACTAGCGCGGACTTCCCGCCCGAACATCGACTTTGACATATTGAACATCCTCATCGCGAACGCCCGACGCTCGCCCCGAGCACAAGTCCCGCCCACGATGTCTTCACAACTACCGCTTCGGAGTATACGAATACCAGCGCTGCAACGGCAATGCCTCTTTCAACGCCACCAAATCCTCCTCCGCTCCGCCCAACCCGCCATAACCCATCCATCCTCCCGCCGTACTTTCTCCAGCACTCCCTCACGCCCACAAAAGCGTAGCCAATTCGGCCAGGACAAGGCGCAAACAAGATCTGCTGCTGAGGCCCAAGTTGCGCCTTCCCCGAAAGTCAACTTTGATCGTGCGCAACGGGATGCAGATGCCATGGCGGAGGATATTGGTATCTTGCAGAATACAATTGTCAGAGCATCCTTTAAGGACGTGTGGGAAGAGACAGGCCATGTTAGAGACGTCATGAGATATTACTGGAACATGGTCAAGCACAAGGGAACGGCTCTTTATTCGTAAGTTGGACTTTCTTTGGGTTGAATCCTGAGTGAGAACCTCAGCGAAGGGAATAGAGGGGCAACAGGTTCAAACTTAGTTGGGGAGCTGGACAGGAACTTTGACGTTGAGAGCTGACATGATTACCCAGACGATACTATTATCGCGCGTGCATTCAAAAATCCGGCTGGACAAAATACCTACCCGTCGATCCATTCAACAACACACAATACAAAGTCCTAGCGCAGAGACACTACAAGAAAATCCAGCAATGCTTTGCCAAGTACGTCTCTGCACTTTCGTTCCAGTCCCGATATGCCCCATTATATATACACGACGGACTAACAAACCCAACAGAGGCAACATAGGCCCCCTCGAGCAAATATGCCTACCTCCCCTCGTCAAGAAGCTCAAACAGCGTGTCGCCGCCCGCGGAGGCAAACTCAACATGTCCTGGCACCTCCACAAAGTCAAATCCATGCGCGTAGTCTCACACCGCGCCGCACCTCTGGGCGAAGAACAACCAGATTCAGCTTACAGACAAGTCGTTGTACGAATCGAATCCGTTCAGTCGCTCAAACGATCCGATTCTTCTTCTTCTTCTTCGTCTAAATCTGCAAAGTCATCCTCTTCGCCACGCGCTGTCGCTCCTCCTCTCCCCTGGGTCCCGGATGCCGTACGCCAACGAACTGAAAAGGCCCGCCAACGAATCCAGAAACTAGAGGATGAGGGCGAGAATGTGAACCAGATTGTCAAGAGCGGCGACAAGTATGCGGACAATGGAGTGCCCAAGACAGTGGTGGAGTATCTCGTATTGCAGAAGAGGGTTGTCAGAGGGATAGAGGAGGATTGGAAGGTTTGGGGCTTTGCCAAGGAGTCGACGCCGAGTGTGGTTGCGAGCGACGAGAAGTACTGGGCTAAGATGTTGGATACACAGCTTGGCCCTGCTTAATTTCGACACCTGGGGCGAGAGAGAGAACGAGAAACGAAAGAGAGACTCTGTAACCATATTTGTATATATGATGGAAGTGATGAGAGCGTGTGGTCGCGCTCCAGAAACTTCAGGTGTAATCATACGTGGTATGGAGACGTGACTTCGAAGTCACAAGTGTGAATAAACTTGACATCACGTTGTGTGTATCATACAGGAAAAGTGTTCACTAAAGAAGTGCGATGAATAGAGGATAGTCATGTCATTTGAGCTCTAGTTGCTAGTAGCAATAACGACAACCCAGGTACATGCAATCGTTCGGCGCCCAGCAGTCTACTGTCGCGCATATGCTCGATTCGACCTCGAAATCCATCCTTCTCTTCATACTTGAATCAGGGCGTATGACTCAAGCTTACGAAAAGCTGTGCCGCTTTAGCCGTGCTGCAGACGAAGGAAGCCGGCATATCGAAGAGACACAAGGCAGCAGTCATAGAAGACTAGAAACCGTGGACCTGATTTATTGTCAGTTGGTGTCTCGCTACGAAACTCATGCTACTGTGTGACTCACCTTGATCGTCTTAGCATCGAGACCGAGTCCCTCCTTCTTGTCGGTCAAGAAGTCCTGGACGTCTTTGCGCTGATCACCTTGGAGCTGGACGACTTCGCCCATCTCGGCGTCGCTTACGATGGTGCCATTACAGGCAAACTTCTTTTTGATCACTTTGAGGATCTTCTTCTGGTCAAACTTCTTAGGAAGACCTTGGACGGTCGTCAGGGTCTTGCGGCCATTGCGCTCTGTGTTGTGTTAGCCGGGGGATCTCTAGAAAATGTCACACGACACGCGTGAGCCCTTAAGGACATGCTGGCAAGTGCGCAAGTGGGTTGGGTGGGTGGTGAGGACTTTGCATCAGTGTGCAAGGGCGGTGAGGGACGTACGTTGGATACGAATATGAATGTAGTCCTGCTGAGTCTGCTTGACCTGGCCGGTATCTTCATCCGCTTCCGCGAACGGGTCTGCAAACACTTGGTCAGTAGCTGCCTCGCATGCGCTTCAGGTGTGACGTCTTACCGAAGGTCTTAAGGTTCTCGATGGACATACGACAGTCGGTGAGCGCGCGTGTAGGTGGGGGGTTGTTGGGGTGTGACTGCCGTGGGTAGCGGGCGAGTTACTTGCGTGTGCTGAGAGTGGAGTTTGGGTGGTTTGGTCGTGGTGGTGCACAAGTCGGGAGGCTGCAAGTGTGTGTTTGGAGGGTCGAGCAGGCTGAGAGAAAGAGGTGGGGAATGCGGCGGGAGAGGAAGGCGAGCCCCGCCGTGGTCTGTGCATGGCGAAGGGTGCTGGGTGGTGCTCGCCGTTTCAAAGCTGATCGGTATGGCGAGCATAAGGCGCGAATGAAAAGGGACGAGGATGACATGGTGACACATGGGGCGAGCAAGTGATATGGGCATTACGAGCTAACCGACAAGTATCGTCGCTTGCTCGGTGAGGATGTCGAATTATACAATTACATGGTACAGTGGCTACCTGACTACCAGCTACACACCATTTTCTCGCACGGCAGCCTACGATGGCGGAGCAGCAGGGAACGCTTCCGTTCCAGATGCTTGCCCAGGCCTGACTGGCGGGGGCGGAAGGAACATAGACGAGTAACTCTGTAGCACAGCATCAATAAGAGGAACCAGTCACAGTCAGAGTCAAGTCTGGGGGCCAAACTTACAACTAGAAGCGACATGACTGTATCTTGGTTAGCTTGATGATTAAGCATCAGGCAGTGGTAATACATACTGGACATGCCCACCTGGAAGTAGGCGGGTGTAGACGATGTTCTCTTCTGCTCGGGTGTCTCAGCGAGCCACGACTGGATAGCGAATACTACAGCAACCCTGCATCGAGTCAATAAGGGACGTGGCACAAGATGAGGGAACTTACCAGCCGATCATTCTGTGCAGCACGCGTGATGTCAGTTATTGATATTGGGCACGGCTAGACACGTATCTGGGTAGTGCCTACTTGTTTCGCGTGAAGATCTGGGACACGATATCAGCCGTGTAACGTGGGATTGGGACAGCGGAGGGCACTCACGGCAGCCATGGGCAGTGTGCTCGAGAGCGTGCTCGCCATGTCGTTGTCATCCTTGCCCTTCTCTGGCTCGGCGTAGGGCACGACTGCAGGTGAAAGCGCGTTAGACACGTGACTAGAGGCATTGCAGGTGGAAGGTTAAACCGTTGGAACCCCTATGACGGACGTGTCTTGCGGGAAAGTTCCGCGGCATCACGTACTGAGGTCGGCGCGGCGCATGTCCTTCTTGGAAGCCATCGTGGAGCTGGTGGTCGGGCGGTGTGTCGTCGGTGGCCGAGATATCTACCGTAGGCTGGCGGAGTGGAGATTGATGGAGTGATCTTTGTTGCAGCGTGAGGCGTGAGCGGCGGCTGGCTCTCTGTGGTACCGGTCCGGGATGTCGTTGGCCCCGTCTTAGTGTGGAACCCATGTCGCTCTGTCGTATTACCGGGTGATCGTCTCCGCTGTTCGCAATCCAAGATAACCTCAGACCTCACGTCAATCCCTCTGCGTCGGCCCCCATTGTCCTCATCCGAGCAACACATTAGTCCCTCCCTTCCATCCCCGAGTGTGTTGCTCGCACATGCTGCCGCCCCAACATCGGCGCCTCCTGACCTCGCCCAGCCCTCGCTCGCTCCCTTGGCCCAACAACTGCATGCGCCTGATACAACGATGAAGTCGCTGTGTGTGCGATGACTTCTCGACCTGGCCCGGGGATTCACGAATCTCTACAGAATCGTGGCAGCGCCCTGCCTCCTCGGTCCCAGCTGCAGCGCCGGCCCTCGAAGCCTGCCCATACGCTCCTTCAGCCGGACTGCATCGATCCGGCCCTAGAGGACGAACGCCCCCCATCTGTACACAGCGCTGCCCACGATGCCGCGAGACCTCCACCGCGAGGACGTCCGCCGCTCTTCTACACCACCATCCCCCCGATCCACCCCGTCGAGCTGCCCCTACACTCCTTCCCGTATCAGCCGACCGCGAACCTGCCCCAGCCCCCACGCCCGGGCTCCCTGCACCTGAGAGATGCTCCGCACCAGCGTCGCATACTGCCCGGTGGCACAGGAGTCAAAGACGCGCCCAAACCCGGTGGCCCTGAAGCTGTCGTTCCACCCGTCCATTTTCCCGGTGGGAAGGCCGCCGATCTGTTTCCATGGACCGGCAACAATCCCGAGGACAACCTGTCTGAAGCGCTAATCAAGGCAGGCGTCAGTAACAAGCCGCAGATTATGAATGAGTCCAACACTGCCCGCCCCTCGCTCATCAACAACCTCAAGAACAAGTCTGGGCTCAGCACGCTATCGACCCTGTTCGTCGCTGTACTAGAGAAGAGACAACAGACCGGTCGCCTGCAAACCCCCAATACCTTCAAGCCCCCACCACGATTGACGCTGAGAGACTCGACCCGCGAGCAGTGGCTGCACGACCTGGCAAATCCAACGACAGGCCTCCGCCGACTCAGCCGCACCATCCCCCACGGACTCACAGGCAAAGTGCTGCTGGAACAATGTCTCAACAAGAACATCCCCCTTCCGAGAGCCCTGTGGTTGGCCAAGTGCGTGGGTATCAACGAACTGCGCGCCCACAAGAGAAAGGGCCAGGCCGGCACTGTGACATGGGGCCGAGGCTGGACCAGTTCGGTCGAGCAGTTTATAGACGGTGTCATTGGCAGTATTGGGCAGGGTGACTGGAAACCTCGAATCACGTATGCCCTCCAGCTTGCGACCCACCTCTACAAAGAGCACCTCCTCGACGATGACCACTTCCTGGATTGGATAGTCAATGGCCTGGACACATGTCCCTCCGAACGCCTGTTTATCTGGCTGCTGGTTGTGTCCATCTCTCACTACTGGACGGCCGTAACCTGCTGTCGACGCCGCGGCAAATCTCTTGCTGAGTCACTGCTCAATCAGCTTGATAAGATCTATCGACTTGAGGATCTGAGGCCTTACTTGGCCGTCTTACAATATCTAGAGAACACTGTCATTCGACTGCTCGCGACACGACCTGCCTGTCTGCTGCTTCCGACTGCATGGGCCAGATATGGCCCCCTTCTGCAGAAACTTGCCGACAGGAAGAACCATGCACATGTAACGCAAGCCGTCCGGAGGCTCGAGCTGAGAAATGCTAGGCTCCTGCAATCCCCAAAGAAAGCTCCCTCCGCCTCGCAGACACCGGCTGGCCGCGTCTACCGGATACTGGACTCTGTAGACTACAGCAAGCCAGTGCGCATCGAGGACCTGTCGTGTGATTGTATGGAGATCGTCGCCGACGCTCCACGGTTGATCAGCATGCTTCTTCAGTGGGCATGTACGTGTTACCGAGATGGAGCGCACAGGATCTATCTGGCGACCCGACTACTCCGCAGGTGGAACCATCTTGGCGCAGATGTGTACGACGGGATCGTTTCGTATCTTCGTGACATGGCCTGGGTGGCTACCGGCGACCCGAATATTCTCTTTAGAATCGTTGCCGAGTTGGTTCGCTCAAAGACATTCGCTACTGGACGTTATCTACAGTGGCTCATTGCTACAGGGTCTACCGGACACAGCACGGATCTATCTTCACCACATTCCTGGCCGTTGCGCCTGGTCACTGAAATACCCCTCAGTGGACTAACAGACCAAATCCGTACGTTACGAAATACACTCCTACGTGGAACTATGCATTCAGCCGAGCTAGAGCAAAGAGCACTTAGCTACGCTGAGCACATAATATCCCAGACGTTACCTACCTTGTTCGGTATCTACACCGACACAGCTAAGCCGAACGACGTAGAGCTAGACAAGCTTAGTTCGACAGTAAAGCTTGAGCTGGGTATCTGGTTACGTCAACACGTCGCTCAGTATGCTGAGGTCAGCACGCAGTAAGTTCTTTCAGCACACTGGCCGCGACTCCGCTTACATTGTATAGCATACCTACCAAGGACTCGTCTGTCGAAGAAACCGCTGCGGTATCTCTATTGTCGCCATGGGACTTCCACATTGTAAGATCCTATCTTGAGCGCTTTGGAGACCTTGCTATACTTGCGGACATTGTCGGCGTGGCAACTACATCTTTGGACCCTAGTGTCCTTGCTTCTGCTGCGGATACGATTAATTACCATGCCAAAGCATTTCGTGCTATAGGTGCTTTTGACCCTTTGTTTAGTAGGATCGCAACGAGATATGCTGCCCTGCGAACGGTCCGATTACCCGATCGAGAACTATTGCTCAGTCTTGCCAGTCTGGCTCGTACGGCGCATGCTGATGGCCAACTTCCACAGTTTCTCAACTATGATCTGAGTCAACTGAACCAGCGAAACTCACTTATGGCCTGTTCGCCAGCCTCTGATAACATGGGTGAGGTCATGCAAACAGGATCATCTTCGGATGACGATATTGAGCGCGTTCTTTCGAGTGGTACCAACATGGATCAGCAAATGATGGGACGAGTGCTTCGCAAGATTGTTAGTAACCTAGAAGAACATCTAGCCAAGGGCTCGTTCCATTTGAACAGCCACCATGCCTGGTTCCATCGGCTACGCTGCTTCGACGAACCGACCTTCGACATGGTCGTGAACGAATGGCTGATCTTAAGCCTGATGGCTCAAAGGACTGACACGCTGCGGGTAGCCTTGCCCACTCTTGTTGGTTCCGGCTGTGTTCCTTTGACATCTTTCTTGGACACTCTTCGAGCTTGTATCGCTAAGTTCAAGACTAATCCTTCTGAAGGTGGTTTCCAGAGTGCCCTCAAGGGCATGCTGATTACTTTGCCTTCTGATACACTGGTTCAGTCTTGCTCGCCACAAGATGCATATCGATATCGCCTGGAGCAACGAAAGCTCTGCCTAGAAACTGAAGGTCGCTTTACGCAATGTATTGGTGAGGTAATTGGGCTTGGCTCCATGATTCCATCTCAGAAGACCCAAGCGCAGCTTTCAGACTTTCTGCGTAGCAAGCCAATGCTGCATGTCCTGAAACATCGCCTCGTTAGCGATCCGGGATGCTTGTCCAAGTTGAATAAGGAGGGTTCAAGTCATTACTTCAAGCCATCACTAGATAACCTCCTGGATCCCAGAGGCCACATGAAACTACCGGAGAAGAGCCCTGGACAGCAAGTACTCGCAGTTTTTGCACTTGCGAGCGAGTTGTCGTTGCCGATCTGCCAAGCGACCATCGAGCAGCTGTTCTCGTCAAGCGCAGCCTCGTTGGGAGACTCTGGTGAGGCACTCTCTGCGTCTCTCTTGAGCGCTATCAAGACAGCGGTAGAAGAGGATCAACCTTCAGGATTAGAGCTTCTCGCAAGCTTGGATACTGCTCTCACTGACCAGATTCGACAACATGCTGAACGCGAGATCATCAATGCCTCTGCCTTCTTGTGCATGTCACCTGCAATCAAAGCAGAAGAGGCTGAAAAGGTCTCGCCAGCATTAGTTCAAAAATATCTTACGGTTATTGACCTGACTTCAAGTAAGCGCTCGGAGACCACGGAACAGACAGCTCTGCTTCAAGCTTTGATCGAGAGATTCAAAGGCATAAGCCAGGCTCTTGAAGACAGCAGACTCTCGGTTCTAGAGGTATATTCTTGGTTGAATGCCCTCCTCCGTCTGGTAGTGTCTCACGCATCGGCCATGCTGAGCGACGCGACCCATCCACACCAGACCGCTATAATGAGTGCCATGGCTGCTCTACTCATTCATCCGTCTCTGGAACTATACCCTACAATCACTGAGCATGTCTTCGATGTTACAGTATTCCTCTCGGACTATATCTCGGATGACGTTCGGTTCCACGTTACCCGGTTGGAAGGTGCCAGGCTTGCAAGCGATGCACGCTGTGTCTTCATCCTAGGAGTGACAGCGCCAGTCGACGGCTGGCTTGTTCTGGCCAAGCCAGTCAACACCCCCCTGAACCAAGCGTCATCGCAACCACCGACGCCAACACCTCTTCAAAATCAGCAATCGCCATATCAGAGCCCACAGGTACCCGCCAATAGTTCTGCAACGCCACAGCAACGCTACTTTCAGCAGCAACAACAGCAAAGACAGCAGCAAATGCAGGCAGCTCAACAAGCGCAGCAGATGCGCGCACAGCAGCAGCAGCAGCAATACCACCAGCATCCGCAGAACAAGATGCTGCCTGCTCAGCTTCAACGAACACCGTCGGGCCAAGCCTCTCCTTCTCCACTCCAGCAAATGTCGCAAATGCAGCAGATGCAGCAAATGCAACAGCGCGCCATGCAACCCTCGCCTGTCTACTCGCAGCGTTCGACTCCTG